GGGTTTGGAAACTAGGCAGACTTTGAATTCAACATGATAAATGCAATATGTGCTCCAAATGTTCCATTTCTCATGTCAACTTCAAATGCTAATAATATAATAAACCTTAGAGATGTGATATCTGGCACTATAAATAACAAGAGCTCTTATATATAACTACAAATTTTATTAAGAAATTGACAGTGGTTTGGCCTGGTCTGCACTGTTATCCATTATGATATTCATCATCACAGTGGTCAAAGTGGTAATGGACCCACGAGGGACAGCCAAGTGAGCCTGCTATAAATTGATGTCAAATGTTGTTGTAGATAACAGTAAAGACCACGCTAAACCACTGTTGATTTATTTTTTGACCACAATATTAACGTAAAATAAAACGATTCTTTTAGTACGCGACACATTATGTGACACACTTACACCAGCAGCATTGTCTGTACTCCTATCCACAACGGCAAATTTACCAATAAGATTGCAACATTACTGCCAATAATGGTAAAAAATAATATTTTCAAGACTCCAACATGCAATATTCATGTACACAGACAAGCCACCTTTTCTTCACTCAGCAAAAGAACATATAAAGCCTTAAACTCCCAGAAGTGATCAACATGTAACTTCTCCCTAAAATATCCCTACATTTTCCAGCAAACGGGTAATGAGAATACTCAAACTTATCAGGTAGAAGTTGATATCTTGATCTTAATTCTCCTTACTAATTCACAAGGAATATGAGTGGAAGCTAGAACGGAGAGTTAACAATCAGATCGGGGGAGTTATTCAAAGTGTTAAGCTTGCACAAAACTATGAACTATTATTAAAAACTGGATCATTGGATAATGCAATTCAAGACTTTTTATTGGCTTAACCATTAATGGTATATGAGCCATTATATAACATAATCTACAAATATGGTAAACCTACGCGTCAGCTTAAAATTAAAAGGGAGTTAAAAAATTTAACGTTTGGTAAGATTTGTCCGATATCTTGGGGGCATTTTTAATAAAACAATTATTCCACTCAGGCTTGTTGGATATAAGATGATTATAGCCAACTCGGCGCTAAGCGCCTCGTTGGCTATCTATCATCTCATATCGAATGCGCACTCGTGGAATAATTGTTAAATAATTGTATAAAATATGACTTACCGGAGCAACAAGGCCATTAAGACAGTTTTTAAATTTTTCAAACGCTTCACTGGTAATTACAGTCCCTGACTGAATATCCTGGAACACACAAAAAAAACATTTTCATTTGGAAAATACATCTTGGACAAATTGCTAAACTGTTATATTATAGTGGAAAAAAAATTCCATGAATACCAACAGTTCCTTAAAATTTTAATACATTCTTACCACAGTAGAAAGAGATGGGCTGATGTCAAAACAAAAGACAAATTTATATCGCCTGCCAATAAATGTAATTTGAGTTGAAGGTACAAGTTTGTAGGGTCCATGGTTGTCTTGATTATTTGAAATGACTGACAAAACTTCAAGTTCTTCGTTAGAAGCAATCTAGACCAGGAAAAAAATTAACATCGTTTGGTAAAATTCCAACATAATCAACTTGCTGCATATACTTCAATGCAGAGAGTGTTGTCAGTTTCATGTGTGTTGTTAAATTGGATGACCATGTAAAGCTAAAAACTCTTGAACTGTTTGCAAAGTTTCCATTTAGTGAACGAAAATCATAAAATTGTAGCCATATATTCAAATTACAGAAGCAAAAAAATATAATTTAATCCTTTAATGCCCAGAAGTGATTAACATGTGTTTTCTCCCTATGAGATCCATACATTCATTATTAAGCAAACTGGTAATGAGAATACTCAAATTTATCAGATCAAAGTTGGTATTAACAATAATAATAATAATAATAATAATAATAATGATGATAATAATAATAATAATCAGTTTAATTACTCTTTTTGTAGCTTACAGCTAAATTACAAGAGTGGTTAGGATACAAATCATATCTATACAATAACATCAAACATTTTACTAAGAATATCTATATGAAATAAAAATTAATTTGTCAAGACAGTTAGTAAAAGCCATAGTGGGATCACCTCTAAGAGAGCCTGAGCGTAGATTGTATCCACGGGACACAGTTGTGCGATGTGGCAGCAAGTTAGCAAGGACACCAGTGTCCCAAACTCTCTGGATAAACTAAGTGCATGCAGGGGCACCCCGATCAGAGAGAGTGCAAAGACCACACAGCACAAGTGCCTCCCTGTAGGGAAGCCCAGGAAAGATTACTTCTAAGGCTTTTATCTGCACACTCTCAATTAGGAGGCTACGATAATCAGGCAGGTTTTCCCAAACTGGGGAGGCATACTCCAACACTGAAAAAATCAGGCTGGAATACACCATATTGCATGATATCACACCAAATTCTCATAGCCAAATTCTAAGGAAATATGTAACAGCTAGAAAGGAGAATTAACAATCAGATATTAATCTTGAGAGTTAAAGAGTTAACTTTAAACCATAGCTTGCAACAGGACCGCCAAACAAAGGTCACCAACTTGGCAACCTCAGTAACCAATTTTTTTTTTTAATAATTGCCATGGTAACCAAAACTTTAACGCCTTGGGCACCAGTGACTGCCATCTTACCAGGTCATCATGTGACTTCGGATGAGATAGAGTTTTATTGAACTGTTCAAAGAACCACTGAGCTCTGATACTCCTTGAGATTCTGTATTCCTTTCCCATGAGAAGAAATACATGAAGGGCATCCTCCTATCAAGTTCAAAGAAAAATCTTTCAATCCAAGAAAATCTTACAATCATTTTTTTAGTAAACAAAATCTATTTTTGCTGTAGAAATCCAAAGCAGAAAATAAGTAAGTAAATACAAATCCACAGTTCATCTGTTATTGAAAGGTGCAGTGAACATTCAGTAAGAACCAGAGAGGAAGAAGATCAGTTCTGTCAAAATCAAGGACTCAGTCCATCGATCATCTAGATCATCAACTGTTCAAAACCCGAGAATTTCCACAAAGCTACTATCAAGCATTTCCATTTCTAAGTAACTTTTCTGGAGAAGGAGCTCATTGAGAAAAATCAGAGAAAAAAATGAAAACAAAAAACCTCTGTCACTTTTAATGCTTTTTTTTTTAAACTTGGTTTGTTTGTTTTCTCTTTTATGATACAGGCATCAAGACTTAACCATTTACACTGCAACATTAATATTCATATTCTCCAAACTGTTCTCTTTATTTCCTATATCATAAATAAGAGAATTTGTTTGAAAATCAGGAACTTCTTGAGTTACTGATCATTTTTTTTTTTATTCTCATGACTTTTGTATTTGATTCAAGTGTGATATGGTAAGGAGAAATGAGAACCCTGTCACTCTTGGGGATAAAAGGTTTAAAAGCTACTTCAAACCTTAGAAACAGTCATTCAATGTTTTAACTCACAAAGATAATATCACTGTACAGAAAAAAGAACTGTTGCGCTATCATCAGCTTATAAAAGGACTCAAACTTCACTTAAATTTGTTTTTTTTCAAATTTGTTCATAATAACCGTTATCCGATCCCACACGAGGCATTTTCTTTTAAGAAAGGAGACGAAAATTAAGATCAAGCTATCGTAGTTATATAACAATTTAAGACGAGCCTTGCACCTCTGATTTACTTGGGAAGCGCTGTGAAGCACGAGGAAAGACCGGAGGAACTTATGATCGACTCGAGAACTCACCTCTTGCATTGCATCATCTTCAGACATTTTCGTTTCTCATTGATCTCTTAGTTAAGATCCATATATACGAAATTACTTATGTGATGAGCAATTTGCAACATCTCATTTAAGATCCTTGTGGGCTTCCTGTTTCGACGAGTTTCTTAACCGTAGTACAGTCTTCCATTTCCGCCATGTCAACTACTCACACGGGTAACCGCTGGACAAAAAGAGGGAAACAAATTCAGTCTTAGATTGTGATCTCCAACGTAATGCATAGTGTGAGTGAAGTTTTGAATAGCAAATCAAAGGTTTCTGCCTTTTCCCATATTGAGAGAGAAAGTTTTGACCAAAAGAATGATGATGTTTCCTCAGGTGGTTTTTTTTTTAGTCTCCTGCATGAAGAAAAAAATCATGACTGCACAACCGTTTCGTTTTAGAGAGCAAGGTTTATTTCGCGTCCTAACGGCTTTTTTAAATACCAATCGCACACGCTATGAATAACAATTTTTTGGCGCAATCTACAAATAATTAAGTGTGAACAATAGAATGGTGCGTACTGGGAATAATTGACTAAATAACTAAACAATCATGGACTAATTAAATATGCAATGGTATATTGCAACAGATGAAATTCAATTTTGCAAAGTTTCTGTGCTCTCTGAAAAAATTTTGCTCACCCTATATTTCTTTATTCAAAACTTTGTATTGAGTGTTCCCCAAAGAGTCTTGCCCCTGGCTCAACATGGACCCAAACAAATTAAAAAGAAGAAAACAAAAAAAACAAAAAAAAAAGGGAGAAAGAAGAAAAAAGGTCTCTGGAAGAAATATTTATCAGTTTCCTTGTTTCTGAAAACTCATCAGCCCTCATCAACCCTTTACACCTTAATATCAGTATCCATATTCTCCATACTTTCCTCTATACATTTCCTTTGGAACTGACAAGGAGAATTCATTTAATAATCAAAGCTTCTTCTGCCACCAATCATTTTCTTTGTTCTCGTGATCCTAATGAGCCACTCTGCAGTATTTACTGTAAGGCAAAATTATGTAGATGGTGAACTCTCTTTGGGCATAAAGAGTTAAGTAGTCCACAATTTTCTCAGCACTCACTGGAACATTGCTCCCAAGGGTGAAAGACAAGTGATACGAGACAAGCATGCTAGCAAGACCACAGTGGCATGTAACTGAAGGCATCCAGTATGAAGTAGTGTAAATAGGAAAGGACTGATGACTTTACAAGACATTTTCCATGTACACTGCTAATATTCTCTTTTACCATATTTAGCTCATAGTAGATCACAATACGGAGGAAACAATGGTTTCTTTTCAGCAATTCATTTATCAATCCCTAGAAAAAATGGTACTGTGGTATTGTATTTCATATCAATCTTCCCCTTCTGAAGTCTTTGTGGAAAGAGGAAGTAAAGTTTGAAAACCTGTGGTGCTGTACAGGGGCAGATCCAGGGGTGGTTTGGGTGGTTCAGTCAAACCCCCCTAACTTATCCCTCAGAATGCTGGAGATCATGTTTCCAAAGACCTACTTTTCAAAATTTCAGACCCCCCAGATGGAGGAAATTCTCTGAAGCCCCCTTGACTAAATCCTGGATCTACCCTAGCTGTACCAGTACGGGTACCACAAGATGATTTGGTTTTACCAAATGAGTTGACAGAGTAAATTTGCCACCATAAAGAGTTCCTTAAGCTGACATTTCAAATGTAAGAACTGTTTAGAGGGACAGGCCTCTTCCTCCAGACCAGTGTCAGCTAGTCATCAAATTTATCAATCTCTGATGATAAATGTCACTTCACTACTCCAGCCTTAATACAATTCTTAAACTCCCATGAATGACCAAGAGAGAATTTCTCCTCACAATATCGATACAATATCAAGCAGGCAGTTGATGGGAATAAAGAAAAATATCAATTAGGGATTTAGGGGATTATTTGTTGATCCAATGCCAAATTCTCAAAACTGACATTATATGAATTGTATGGCAGATAGTAGCGAAGGGCTAACGCTCGAAACGTCAGCTTTTGTAATCATTACGGTGGCCAATTTACCATTTCAACTTTGTTGATATATCCAAATTATTTTGTTACTCCCACCGACGCAGCCCCAAACAGTTTCTTTCGAAACTATCAGCCTTTATTCAGATAGTAAAGAGAATCAGTTATAAGATCTTGGCAGTGAAAGGGTTAAATGAAAAAAAAAGAAAAACAGAAATATATACACAGACTATAAAAATAATTGAACACTTTATGCAGCAAAGTGTTGTTGTAAAGTCTCCACAAAGTTGTCCCTCATGCTTTCCTTAAAAGTTTTGTACCACAATAACACTTTTTTTCGCCTTTCAACAACTTCACCATGGGTTAAATGCTTCTCATTTTCAATGATCATCGGTAAATCATTCCAGTCTTTTACATAAATGAAGGGGGCCTTAGATGCCTTTAACAGATGCAATGGGGATTTTTCCCCTTTCCTACAATTTCCAGGTGTGACCACATCTTCAATGACAGGAACTGATCCATAGGAGCAAGCTTCATATATGCGATAACATTCTGTATTCATTCCCACTGGATTAAGGGTCAAATCACTGTTGGCTAGAGCATAGTGATAATCATTTGCTGATTTGGAACTTTCACCCGGTGACCAAGTGCCTCTAGTCTTAATAAAACACACATCCTCTAGGTTAAAATTTTTTATAACCATCTGTAGTTCTACTCGAGAAGAGTTGGAGTAAACAGTCCCTAAAAAATTACACTTAAATTTACGAGGTTTCTGGACATCAATGGAAAGTATTGGTACGTTTGGAAAGTTCCTGTATGTGGCCACTCCCAGAGGCCACTGGAAGTAGATTTCAGAATCCGCGTAAGTGATATCATAAACAATGAAGGCAAATGTTACAAGACCTTCGTTATTTTTCATATAGGAAAACAACCAGTCATTATCACAACGTTCGTTTCCCAAAAGAACAACCGCCACGTTTCGAAGATTCGGAAAACCTTGAAGAGATTCAAGCCATGCCTTTGCAAAATCCACTTTTTTGGGCTCTCGTCCGTTGATAACGAGCACAAGATTCTTGGTTTGTTTTGGAACCTTATCTGGTACGACCCATGGTCCAGTGCGAAATATGAACTTGATATTCTGAATTTGCTTTTCGCCGTAGCGCCATGCTCCACCAAGTCTTTCCTCTAAGGGTCCCTCAAGAATATGCTCCCATAAGTACAGCCCGATCGCAGCTTTACCCCAGATTTCAACCTCGACCAAATTCGTTTGTCGATATTGAGAAGCCTTTACAGGAGCACGGTAGAATTTCGTGGGCGACTTAGATGTGACTACAAGTCCTTTTGGATGTATTTTCTGATTCTCGTTTACTAGAAGCACCTGGAGTGCATAAATGGTAAAGATCGTGTAAATAGATGCCACCAGAAGGGCTAGAATTTTGCAACTTAGCCTCTTCAGCATCTGATGTGTTTGTCTGCCATGTTTACCGTACGTTTCATTGCGCGCGCACGCTTGAACGTGGCGTGTTGAAGCAATCTTTGTTTTTCTGCTCGTGGGCTCAGACATGGCAGACCACTACTGATCGTTCTATCGTTGTGTGATCTCGTTGAGTAAGCGTTTTCGCTGAACACGACCGTGCATATAAGTTCGTAAAAATGCAGGTGTGTTCAGAATTATCTGATTTTCATTTGAGTGTAATTTGAGTAATAAGTTGTTCTCTTGTATTTCTTATAAGCCTGCAATCCTTTATGGTTAATGCTATAAATTAGTACCTTGAGGTAGCAGTTATATATTTTAGAACCTAGATGATCTTTCAGAACTTTTCCACTTGTATTGTACATAATATGCCTTTTATTCCTTTTCAATTTGAATTTTTTATTTAATGTATAGGATGAGAAACTGTTAGAAGTTTCTCTGGAAGCTGTATCCAGCAGGGTTCAAGAATTAAAAGAAGCAATTCAAGCCTTCCTGATGAAACTGGAGCACGAACAAATGAACTGGTGAGAGAAATCAATACCTGCTCTTTGAACGTTTGAATATACTAGTTCGCTCTTTTTTGGCAGAATAGTTCTTTGTAAACATCTGAAGCATCACCAACTTATATTACAGTTTGAATTAAATGGGGTAAGTTTCTAACGAAACTGTGGTGCTGTGTCAGTGGGGGAGTACACTAAAATGTAATTTTTGTTTTATCAACTGAGTTAATAAATTAAGTGTAAATTGGCCACCATAAAGAGTTTTAAAACTGACGTTTCGAGTGTTAGCCCTTTGTCAATAATGTCAGCTTTAAAACTCTTTATGGTGGCCAATTTACGTTATCAAATCAGTTGATTAAACCAAATTACCTTATCTAATTGTTTGTTTCAGGCCCTCAGTTTTGGATAACTATGCTCTCTTATCAGGTAGGTTACTGTTGCTTTTTAAATTAAATTTCTAAGCTAGAACCCGGAGTTTAATTATCATTGCTTGAAGTGTTGAAAAGATGTCATACCTTTCTGTTGAACAGGTCAAGTAAACACATTGACTAAACTGCTGAAGAATGAGAAAACTCCTCTCTTTCGGAACCTGGTGCTTCTACCAGTGTTAGTGCAACAAGAAACAGACCCAGATATACAGGTAGATATACAGTGTAGATTCCAAGATCTGATTAATAATTCTTCCCTCTGGCTGGTAAGTTAGTTACAAGAATTTGGTGTTAGGTCAAGATAAAAACCTCTACCTAATAAGTTTGAGTATTCTCATTACCTGTTTGCTGGATAATGTATGTATGTTATAAGGAGAAGTTACATGTTAATCATACTCGATGACACTCTTGTTTATGGAACAAAATGGTTGCTAAATTTGCCCAAAGTCTTTAGTGAGACACGATTGCAAGCCAGATGCAGCCACATTGTTTTCATTATTCTCCTGTGACTGGCTTCTAATTTCTCCTTACAATATCACACTTGAATCAAATGTAAAAGTCACGTGAATAAAGGAAATGATCACCAAATTAAGAAGCTCCTGATTGTCAAACAAATTCTCCTTGTCAGCATCATAAACAATGTATAGAGATCCGTGTGGAGATTGTGATTACAGATGTTTAGATGTAAAGGGTTCATGATAACTCTTGCAAGGTATACAGGCTGTAAGTAGGTGCATGTATAAGTGGACATCAAAATTGCTTTTTTCTGTTTTGTGATCTACTAGAAAGCAAGTGAAGGACGTATACATGCATTTGACCATGAAGTTGGTAAGTATTGATTTATCTATGCTGCACATCTTTATACTAAAAAGGGTAAAGTCTGTTTGTGAGCCAAGTGGCACTTAACTCCAGTTTCCATAGCATGAAGCCCCCAGGAATATTTCTACATCTTTATTCTGCCCACACATAAATTTTGAATTGTTTTAATTTATTCCAGTCCCAGACTATCTACGAACAAAGTATGCTCCTGAGATAGAGGAGTCTGAACAGAAGGTTGAAACCATGGCAACAAACATCCCACCAGATGAAGCTCAGGTATACAAAAACTGATTCGAACTCTTTATCTCCCAAGATCTGATTGTTTATTCTGCCCTCTACCTGCTACACTTTTTCTTGTAAATTATGCACAAGAATTTGTTATTAGATCAAGACCAAATTGTTGTCAAGATTTTCCCATTGCTACTCTGTGTTGATGGAGGCACAGTGGCCTCATGGTTGGTGCGCTTGACTCCGGATCGAGTGGTCCAGGTTCGAGCCTTGGCCGGGGACATTGTGTTGTGCTCTTAGGAAGGACACTTTACTCTCACAGTGCCTCTCTTCACCCAGGTGTATAAATGGGTACCAGCAATTTAATGCTGGGGGTAACCCTGCGATGGACGGGCATCCCATCCAGGGGGGAGTAGAAATACTCATAGTCACTTCATGCTACAGAAACCGGAGTTAAGCACCGCTAATGGGCCACTAGGCTTGTAAACAGACTCTGTGTAGATAACTATTGTGGGGGAAAATTACTTGTGTTTCAGTGATAGGGTTGAAGCCTAATGGGCCACTAGGCTCGTAAACAGACTCTGTGTTGATAACTATTGTGGGGGAAAATTACTTGTGTTTCAGTGATAGGGTTGAAGCAAGTTGATAATCCTTTTACCCACCCACCCCCTCTCAGAACTGGTCATGTATCATATGATGTTATATTGTTTAAATTACAGCGTGCAGTGTTGTATACAGTATAATTATTAATTTGTTGTAAACTGAAATAGTAGTTCCGTTTATTTTTAATTTTTCCTCTGTCCAACTACAGAGGCAGAAAGACACTTTGAATGAACTGGTTGAAAATCTTCTTACTCTTATATCAAGTGCAAGAGAGGACTGGGAAGGAGAGCAAAGTGCAGGTATTGAAAAATTGCATTACATGCAAATAATGATACCACTAACTTAATTTACAAAATATTACATTTTAGAATGGACTCAACTTTGATTAATACCGGATTGTTTTTTTTTTTTAGCATCAAGAAGCTCATCTGCTGTTAATCCTGACCTCAACAATCTTGTTGTTGCAGTTACATTTGGAAGAGGTATGTTTGATGGTGGATTAACCTTTTAAATCCTAACATCAGTATTCATATTCTCCATACTGTTCTCTATACATTTCCAAGGGTGCTGACAATGAGAATTTGTTTAACAATAAAGAGCTTCTTTAGTTGTTGATCATACGCCTTATTCTCATAACCATAATGTGTGATTCAGGGGTGGTATTGTAAGGAGAAATTGGATGAAAGTCACTCCTATGAATAAAGGGTTCAAGTGCAATTTTTTGATGACTATGCAGGCCCAAGAGGGCTATCTAAAAGGCCACAATGCCTGCTCAGACATATTTGGGCTCCCAAAAGCTCTCAAGTGAATTTTTTTTTTTCTGAAAGGTAAAACTTTGTTGTTTATGCTTTGCAGGGCTAAAACCAGCAAAAGTTACCAAGGGTAGAGGCTCTAAATCAGATAAAGGTGTGTAGTGTTATTAATGCGGTATGTTGGAATGTTTAATGGTTATTTTGAGGTGTAGAATCATAGTTGACTTTTTGTCACGAGTTGGTGATATTTAACTGGAAATAGGGCCAGGAAATAAGTATTAAATGGTCTGTTGAATGAAATGCAAGTCGAGAAGCATAATGTAATGTCTTAAAATTACAAAACATTTTTATCAGTTTAAGGAAAACTTGTCCAAATGGTGGAAACTCTCTGTGGAATGAAAACTGGGGCTTTATCATCCCAATGAAAGCTCACTTGCAATGCTTACCTGATTCCTGATACTTTATCAAATACTAATTTTTGTAAATGATGTTTGTCTTTTGTTTTTGCTGCAGCACAAAGTGGCTGGATGAGTGACAAATCTACAAACAAGGCTCCAAGCTCTGTGAAAACAGAGACTAAGGCAGCCGCTGGTGTTCACCCATACTCCATGCCTAACAGACCAACCAGCAGGACAGGACCATGATTTTAGAGATCAGATATTGTTTTGCTTATATAATTTACTGTGTGCCAATATTGGACCATCATGGCCTCCCAGTGGGATGCTACCTTTTGTTGCAACAATATTGGACTGTCACTGTCCAATACAACTCCAATAGACGATCCATCAGAAAAATATTGTACCATCATGGGTTTCAGGAGCTTGATGCCTTATGACTTACAATCTCAGTCAAAAGAACTGGAAAATGTTGGCATTCATAAACCCTGCCCCTCCCTATGGGTTCATTTTCACTGCCTCCCCCACCCCCTCCCCCATGCATTAAGCTTTTTCCTGCAAAACCTGTTACAGATACATGATCTTTTCAAAAGCAATAAGACTGGAATTGTTGATGAAATTATCACCAATCATAGTTTCATGTGTTGTAGAACAAAACTTGTTTAGTTTGAAAGGACTGGGCCATCTTCCTCAAGGCCCTAGCACTTATTGTGAATGCTCTGATAAGCCATCCTCTCATAGAGGTTACACAACAGTCCAACAATAGGGCCCTCAAGTCAACCCTCTTCCCATTGGATTTATTTTTAGAGCAGCTCTTTACCACAGAAAATATCATGGTACCTTTGAGTCAGCTATAAATAGCAGAAAGTGAGTTTGTTGCCCAAGGTGGTCATGTGAGCAGACGTTTCATTTGAAACAATAGGATTTTCATACCTTTGTTTTGATTGGATCTTAGAATTCAAAACTTCCCCAAGGAGCCTTTCTAGTGTTAGATCTACTTGTGAAAGGGTTGACTCCAAGGCTTAGTATGGGAGATCAGTAGAGGCTCCTATGGATGGGCTCTTGGAAAGACCCTCATCTGAAGCCCTAACTATTTAAAATGGAATACAGTTCAGAGGAAAGAAGAAAAAGTAGTCACACAGTTGTCATTTGTGGTTGCCATGGAGCGCCCATGTGCAAACCCCTGTGGAACCTTGGGTTTATCAATGTTTATACTGTTGTTAAGTCTTACACTCTGTAAATGAACCAACCATCATTTTTATTATCATAATTGTTACTTGTATTATTATCATTATCACCATAAATGTTATTATTATCATTATTGTTCTAAATATTATTACATCATCACATTATTGTTATTATTATAATTGTGTTTGGATCAACAAGTTAATAAGAACGACTGATATAATTTATCGTTAGCTGAAATAAAGTAACACATGAAAATAAAAAAGAATTGCATGTTATGATGCGTATTTTGACCCTGTTTTAGTTGTGTTCATATTTTGATTTAAAGTTGATTTCACATTTATTCCCAGGAAGAAGCCGTTTACAACCACTGTGGGGTTTTGCTTCCTCTTTCCTATACTATTTGTCTAGTTTGCCTACATGGCTGATTCTCTGTCTGTGTTCCTTCTTATTTTTTATCATGTGTACTGAACCAAGTATAAACCCCTACTCAAATTTACCAAGGTTTATCTAATGTCCACTTTATGAGCACAGACTGGAGCTGTTCAAATTGAAAAAAAGTCTAAAATAAGATAATTTTACCATCACGATCTTGATGAAGCGACTTGAAAAGGTTGCGCAACTGAATATTTTGCCAAACTGATTTTATGGTGCGTTATGCTAATTTTGTGTGGGCAAGCACCCCCACCTAAATTTTTCGGTTTTAGGGGCTGTAGCCCCCCGTTCTTTGCCGCTAATGGTCTTGTTTTCTCCCTGACAAACTACCTAACTTGTCAGGTATGTAACCTTTTACAAAGTCCTTTTGAACATCTCTCTGGGCGTGTTCAGTAGGTCAGCCATCACTTTGATATCTTGCTTTAAGGCTACTATAGATATCCAAAATTTTGGAATCATTAAATAGAATTATTATAAATATCTCATCCATCACTTCAAACGACAAGTAGTTGACCCCTATAGCCAAATTTGACCTACTCGATTCATGTCAAATGGTTTTTAAAGAGTGTCCCAAAATGTGACAACATTTTTATAATCGAATAAAAGTATTATGGCTTTCCCGCAAAGTTCACTTAAATTTTACATGACTCTTCGGCGATTCTTTTTGCGCCTTTGGTGAGCCTTCTTGTGTTTTCAATATCGGAGAGCTTTTTCTTGTCTTTGGCGCGCCAGGTTGCAGCTTCGGCGAGCCTCGTTGCATCTTCGGTGACTCTTGTGGCGTCTTCGATGATCCTTGGCTTGCGGAGGGGCTATCACTTATCCTGACAGCAACCCGCCCGATCGACAACAAAGTTGTGGATCTCTCTTTTGTCTCTAATTGAGGAGCAGGACGAACGTAGGCTAGGGTGTTGTGACGGGGAAAGCGATATATGAGCCACAGCTTGGGCCCAAAAATACACAGGACTGTTCCAGTGGCGGCGACTAAATTGGTCTTGCATGCGAAAACGGTCAAACCTGGGCCCTTTATAAGGGACCATCCTGGGTAAAATGTGGCAAAAGTGATGGCAAACATTGTCAGCGAGAACGCCACGTGTTTGGCTTCGTCAAATCTCTGATTATGTGGGAGACGTTTTGTACTGTACGCAACCACCAAAGTGCCAATAAGAATTAGCGATAAAATAATTGCACCCATGTAACGTAAAGCCATTCCAACGTTGGTCTGGTAAGGTGTGCAAGTACCGTAAATTATTAACCTCGATATAATGTATTTTTCATTTCTGGGAGGGTCCGAAATCACCCAAATGAGCGTGAGAAAAACCGGGAGAACCCACAGAGATACCACGGTTATGTACACCAATTTCATGTCGTGAGTAGCCGTTGTGAGTGGCTTCAGAAGTAGGCGGATGCGATAAACCTTAAGAAATTGTAGCAAGGCTGCACCTGTGTATATCACGTAAAATGTAGGAGGAAGCATGCGACAGGCCAGATCTGAAGGCTTGGTGAGGTGGATTAAGTTGAAAATAAACGACAGAAGTACCACCACTAAGAGGGCAACGTTCAGAAATCCACCCGTCTCTTTCATTATTGGCGTTTTGCGATATTGCAAGACGATTGCCAGGACAACTAATGTAAGAAGTACGCAGAATGCTGTAAGGGTAGAGAGTGCTACGCCCCACGGTTCATGCCATTCGATGTACTCAATAGGCACTTCGTCACACTTTGTGTTATTTTGATTGGATATGAATCCTTCAGGACAAGTCTTGCACTCGGTGCTGCCTGAACTCTCGCTGAAGGTGTCTCGATCGCACGGGACACACTCCCAGAAGCACTGATTAGGAATACTTCTGTAAGTTCCAGCGGGACAGATATCGCCGCATGTGGTGCGCGGTTTAATACCTCTGTGCCATTGCACCAAATCATCTCGTAGGCTAAGTCTCTGCGCATGCGCATTTCGTTCATCCCACGTTCCAATTTGGACGAGCTTAAACCCATCCTCCTCGGTCTCCTGAAGGTTGTAAATATCGTAAGCGGCCTGAACCCGGCCATTTCTAAAGTCAATATAGCCAGTAAGCCCTGTAAATGAAACCATCTTAAGACTTGCCAGTAGATCATCGGGACGGGGTGAGGAAGAACTCTCAGAGCAAGAGCGGCCCTGGGCGTCACAGTTTAGTATCCCGCTCAGTCCATTCGCGACTGAATATACTGCATCTCTCACATACGCTACACCTGCGTAGCCATAATCTCGTTTGTATCTTTCCGGGGTGATTCTCTCTTGGCCTGAACATGGTTTAAACTGAGTGTGTGTCGAATTAGGTATCGAACAATTGAACTCCATTTCCCAGAATTCATTCCACCAAGACCCCCTCCGCAAGAGAGGTGTCATTTCTGTGACGTGTTTTTCGAATTCTTCAAATCTATGTGTGTGGAACCCAAATCCTATGGCGCCTTGTATAATCGGCTTAAAGCGAGATTGAAGAATCAATGCAGATTCCGACCATCCATCACTAGCGATCCACGTCTTCCCAGTCAAACCTTGCCTCACTGCTTCTTCAAAGACCTTTATCGCTTGAGGTGATAAACTGTACAATATTATAATCTGAACTTGTTCCATGTTTTTCAGTTGACTGATCATGGTCTTTACTTGCGCTTCCGAATCGTGCACAGGAAACAGTTCTTGTAACACAATGCAGATTCCAGTTTCGTTAGCCGCGGTAGCGAAAGCGTCAACGCCACTGCGACCGTACCAGTCATCCACACCAATAACTGCCACACAAGTCCACCTATAGTGCGCAATCAGTTCTGCCATAGCTCGTGACTGGAAGGTATCGACCGGAACAGTGCGAAAAAACGATGTAAACTCTGCCCCCGCTAATTCAGCGCTTGATGCCCCGTAGCTTATTTGCGGTACATTTTGTACTTGGAGTACATTTGCCACATTGACGGAAACTCGAGAATCTAGTCCCCCAATGACTGCTACTACAGTAGTTTCCTTTGATTTCGTGACTCCCTCGCGACAGGAGTTTGTTACAGAGAAGCGTGGGTCAAGTTTGAGCGCATTCTCGTAGACAAAATCCGATGCTATAGAAATGCCTTCTTGTTCGTTACCGCACGTGTCGCGAATGTCGTAGCCTAACGTAACGTTATGAAGAAATGTGCCATTTCTGTTAATTTCATCGACGGCGTATATCATAGCCTCTGATAGAAGTAACACTCGCGAGCGAAGAACCTTACATGATGACGACGATCCCATACCGTTCTTGGTTAGATGGAGGGGAAACATTCCACCTAAAATTATTTCTCCGTCCTTGAATATTCTTTCATGAACATTGTGTCGGAAGGAAATTGTGATTCCACTTAATGCACCAATACCAAGAATAAACAAAGCGTTGAGAAGACCTTGATAGTTCATTACGGTCGATCAATGACGCGACAAAAGTTTCAAAGTTAGTACGAATCATTAACTTACAGATTAATCACATCCGGCTGTGGGTGCTTTGTTTGAAATTTAGGTCCGTGTACGTGACGATGAAATTTTTCACGAACTCGTTTGAACTCGAAACAGAAATGCAGTAAAGAACGTTTTGCATAATAACGTTATGTACTGATAAATACATACCTATTACTAAGGTGAGTAAATACAGCCCACACTTTTGTATTGGTTCTTGTATTAGCCTGAGAGCGTTACTGTCATTGGCTTTCGGTGTAATGTTAATGACATGCATCACTTCACTTTATCGATTATTGCGTCACTAACTAAGAATTATGTGTCAGTCATTAAGGACAAGGTCTCACTCATGACTTTCAGAATTTCGAAAAACTTTTAAATCTTACGAAATTGAAATGAACTGAGAAAGAAAATATGAATGAAGGCGGTCAGTTTCTAAAAAAAAAAAAAACTTTGGTGCTGCGTATATGAGGCTTCTTAAAGGGTAATTTGGGTTTATGAACTGAATTTATAACAGGATTAGACCAACGTAAAGATCTAAAGATGACATTTCGAGCGTTGGCCGTTTTTCGCTCTAATCAAGGGCTAACGCTAGAAACGTCGGTTTACAAAAATCTTTACGGTGGCCAATTTACATTTAATTTCAATTGAGTTGATGAAGCCGAATTATCTCCATATCGAGTAAGAACGCTTTCCTCGACAGCTTGCTATCCACAAGTCACAGATACTTTTTGACTATTAGCGAAGGTTAACCTAGAGTTCAACAAACGTATTTGAATAAAAGGTTTTAAGTCGAATTTTTTTCCGGTTTTGCAACGTGCAAACGCCACGCTGTATGCTAATCATTTCCTGTTTGTAGATAAGTAGTTTTCGCTTTCTATAGTGATCAAAATGAAGGAACGGAAATTTTGCATATTTTCTTTTATTTTTGTCTGATTCAAACCAAGAAACTGAATTTTATTTTTACATGGCCAAACTTGCTAAAAAAAAAAGAAAAGAAAGCTCCGATGAGTTGATGGAGCATTCGACCACGAAATTGGAACGTTTGAGCTGTGACTCTTCAGTAGCGACTAATATTATCTTACTTTGGACTACGATATCGACAAATATTTAAAAGCATCTTTCTGAATATATTTAACAATTGGTTCATGCTTTAGCGTGCACTATCGAGTTATGGAGCACGCGGGAAGTTTGGAGAGCACGAAAGAAGCGTAAGAGTTGCCCGAGGCGATAGCCGAGGGCAACTCTAGCTTCTTGAGTGCTCTCCAAACTTCCCACGTGCTCCATAACTCGATAGTGCACAGCTGAAAGCATGAACCAATTGTTTTAGAACATAGCCGGTGGAATTGTGCATCAAATGCGACGCGAAAAGTGGACAACAATATCAGTTGAAGCGAATCGTGACGGCGCTGATGCCGAGTCTCCTTTTCCTTTGTTTTTCTCTTTTTCTGCCTCATTTAAGAACTCTAGCCCATGGGAAAAGGTCGAAACATTGTCTTCGTTTTCGGACTAGCAGGCCGAGTTTCTGTTTGTATCCATTATTGTCGTGAAATGTATTATTTTTCCCCGCGCTAGCGATGGTTGCTCGCGCGAAAAAAAATTTCTGGCCGAAGTCGGATTTGCTGACGCCATCAGCGTGCACTATCGGGATTTTGAGCACGCTTACGTAAAATGAATTTGATTGCGCTACTCTGCAAGCTATGTTCTAAATCTTATTAGACGTTTTGTTGTGTAGTATTGATGAGTATTTTTACGAGTTGTGCCGTATTTTGACGAGCCCGTAGGGCGAGTCAAAATCGAACAACGAGTAAAAATGCTCAGCGATTCAGCGATACCACACAACAAAACGTCTGATGAGAGATTTATTATCCAACACGCCAATATCGCGTGATATTTGCACTTGTCTCGCGCGTTATTTGTACTCAAGGAAGCACAATTGGATAATTAATAAATATGAATAATTATATTGAGGGTTTGTAAAGTTTCTAAAGAAACTGGGGTATTGCGTAGGTGGGGGGCAACGCAAGATAATTTGTTTTATCAACTGAGTTAATATTGTGAATTGGCCACCTTAAAGGGTTTCTGAAGCTAACGTTTCGAAAATTAGCCCTAAGTCAGAGCGTATTAGCGTCAAGATATAGTACAGTATTGTGTACAAAAAGATTTAATTATAGATGCAGGTCTCAAGAAAAGAGACAGCCCTGAGGCAGTGTATTTTTCTTTAAATGCTTTTTTTTTTCACTCTTTGTCGTTTTATCTCAGATAATTGTCCTTTACTCCGTCGCATCCGTGAGGAAGCTATTCCCAGAAATGTTTTTGAACTCTGATAGTCCAGTCCGGAAAATTAATCCAGATATTACGATCACCTTCTCTCCACGATCGTTCACGCAACTTATCCAATCGTTCTCAGTCCAGCCATAAACTTTTTGCACAATGAATTTGAAGCAACATAAAAGGCAACAGGAATGATGGGTTTCCCTCTCTCTCCCTTCCCGTTCGCGTTTAAAATAGTGTCAAAAACACTCAAATCTGATTGGCTGTAAAAGTATCAATTACTCGTCCACAGCTAAGGTTTTCGCACCAAAAAAAAAAAACAGACTAATGTAGCGTCGTTTTAGTACAGATCTCATCAATCAATAGTTTAATCGGTTAAAGGCGTCGAAAATCAGAAAACTTTTGCGGTTTAGTCAACTTGTTATCACCAGCAGGATAAAAAGAGATACAAAAGGGTAAGATTTAAGAGTGTTATTTCAAAACACCTCAATTTACAGCTTAGCAAGCTAAAATCGCATCGCTTCGCTGTTCGCAAGGAACGCCTGGCATATTTCTAAAGGCAAATTGCAAGGACGATTTGTAGAATCTGTAAATTTTGGAATCAAGGAATTGTAGTCAAGTCACCAATTTCGACATAAAAAGAAATATCATTGTTTTTTAAATCAAGTATTTCTGTTGTTTAACAGCATACAAAGAGAGGTGAATATTAACTGTTAAAAACATTAATTAGGTTTTAAATTTCAACTACGTGCACTCCAAACGCTCAAGATGAAATTTTCTGGTAACTTTGCATCCTTTGATTCTAATCTTTGAATTATAAACCCAACGAAAAAGCAAAGGAGTAGGACCTAATTCAAGCACCACTGATAACATTTTCGAATACCTAAATATATCATAACTTATTACACTAATAGAACTACCCTCCAATGTGACTCCGGTCCATCTACCATCCCTTTTTAACCAGATCATGGCTGTACGGTCCCTTATCAGTAGTAAGGATAGAATTTCAGAGAACAATGCAAAAATCTTAATAAGGCTTAGGCAAATGACAATTGGTGTGTCAATATCAATTATTTAGTTTTCAAAAAGCCAAAGAAAGGGGGACCTATATACCTCAGGGCTCTGTCATTTTAAGAAATAAAAGCATGGACTATCACTTTTATCTATAGAAAGAGAGGTGCCACAGAAACCCTAAGGACCACTCATGAAAAGTTATGATTTGATTTACTCACTTTCACCAGAGTGTGGTGAGGGTCGCACAACAGAGCGAGGCTCCTTATTAAGTGCGCCCTATATCCCACCCATCCCACCCCAGGGGAGGACATCCATCACACAGTAATCTCGTGTGTGGGAAATTAACGTCTCCTACCCCAACCCTGCAGGAGACGGGACCTCCATTTATTCGTCCCTATCCGAGAAGACTAGAATATCTAACCATTTCTTGATGTTATAGAAAGGTAGCAAATTCTTCTCAATTATTTTTAAGACCCTGAGTGTTGGTCCGGCCGGGGCTCGAACCCTCGACCTCCCGCACAACAGTCCAGCGCTCTATCCATTTGAGCTAACCGGGAGGCGGTTTATGCTTCTTAACTTATGAAAAGGAACCCCCCCTCCCAACAGAACTTTACATGCAATTTCATTTGGACCTATTACAGACCTCTACCCACAAATACCATAAAGATTTAATGAATCAAATGGAGTTTTATTTGACTGACTAATGGAATGATTTTGAGTGCAATGTGTGGAATTATGGATAAAATTTTCAAGTTTCTGTACTCAGTTTCCATTTTTGTGCACTCAGTTTCACCTTTTAGCACTCTTTGGCATTAACTATTATGTTCTTAGCCACTGCCCTTGCTGAAATTCCTGAATGCACAGAATAAGGCCTTTTTAAAACTGATATAGTTATCATAATGAATAAATTGACCATGCCCCACTAAATGTTCCATAATACCTAATTCATTTTGTGTCAATTGAAATAGTATGAAATTGCTTAACACAACTCCAGCCATTACCAATTCATCATAAACTTTGCAATTTTTGATGAAAGAAGATTGTTTAGTACATTTTCTTTTTCAACATTAACTGACAGCACCAACTATTAGGTATAAAGCGGTTTCCCTTCCGCTAATTTTGGATTATCTAATGTTACAACGTAGCTTTTGAGGATAAGTTCTTGTTTTTATCACTGCATTCAATCTTAACAATGCAGTAGGTGGATTGAGCTAGCCCCTGTAGGATGATTTTGGCAAAATGTAGCACTAGGGTATGTACCGGTCCCAATTTAGGATTTATTGTTCTTAAAGTTATTGCCATTCACTGTGTTTCCCATAGCTTCTGTATCTCAGAATTGGTTGTTCAAGCCTAATTTACGTTAATATCTCTACATCTTGAGTAACACATGAAAAATGGACTAAAGTGTTTTTATTTAATGTTTTTTGTTCAGCAAGACTCAATTGCCCTCATTAACTTAACACATAATTTCATAATATATTTACTTCCTACAAATTTTTTTTATCTTGCCTAATTTCTACAGAGTCATAACCCAAGCTGCTCTTTAAATATAATTGTGTCATTGGGGTCAGTAAAGCCTTCAAATAAAAATTGATGAAATCCGATGCAACATTATTTTTTTAAAATCAAACAGAACATGATCATAGAAAACATGAGATCAAATTTTAACGAAATATATCAGTTTACCCAGGGCTTGACACCAACAGTAACCCACGAGCCACAGACTAGTAGAAATTCAGTTTTGGGTAGTGTTTTTTCATTTCCAACAGCCAGTCTGGCTATTAAATAAACTGAACTAGTCATAACATCTAAGGTGTCACTAGCCACTTGGCTAGTAAGTTGAAAAGTTAGTGTTGAGCCCTATCACCAATCAACTGTAAATTTACGTTTGACTCCACCAGCTGAGACTGCAACTTAGCATCAACAAATTAATTATAACTGTACTTTTTACAAGCTTATACAAAAGGCCCTGACGAAATTGATTCGGTTATTACCATGAAGGGGTGAAAAAAGATCATGTTTGCTCCTGTCAGTCTTATCTACACTTGTTTCGTACTTTCAGTTTTCTTATTGCCAGTCATCTCGTGATTCAATACAATTAAGATAAGCTCGATCGGTGAAAATTATGGTACATTATACACGTCCTTCGTATTATCAGGAGCTGCAAGAGTCTGAAGAAAGTTTGCTACGATTTCTGATCATTTTTACATTATACGTAATAAGTGTTTGCTGTTTAAGTGCATTTTTGATAAAATTTTGCACTTTCCCATAGCCAGTGAAGCTCTAATTATGACGATTTTGAGAGAAGCGGTTTGTATTTTATGCATTTCTTTTTTTTGTTACACGACTCGGGTAGTCAGAGGGCCAATAACTAAAATCAACCAATCAAAATGCTCTATTGCCGATCCAATATTCTCTAAGTATTAAACCGGGCACTGTCCCGAATAGTCCCTAATGATCCCGAATGATACCGCACTTGTGTCCCTTTGAACTTCAGTCGTGTAATAAATCTCTTATTAACCAAGCTTGCTCGGGACCGTACTGGAAGAATATCGGCCTTCGGTCTTTTTTGTACGGACCTCGCTGCGCTCGGTCCGTACTGTCAAGACCTCGGACCGATATTCTCCCAGTACGGCCCTCGCGCTTGGTTAATAAGATATATTTATTGTATCAGGGTTTGTAGGCTTGGCTGTTATGTATCTTAACATTTGTAGTCAAATATTCGCGTGAAATTTGTGTTGGAATCACAACACCACTGGATGAAGAGCCATCCAATCTTATGGCTTCTTGAGTTTCGCCAGCATTTACAAAGAATCTGTCACTCCCTGACAACTTGACTGAGGTTTGTCGCGTTGTCCACGTCTTTTCATCGTGCATCTCGACTTTTGGTGACGAAGAAATGTGTTTTATTTCCACGGGAATGACTGCGCTACCATTAGCTGGGGTCCCTTCTAATGTTACAGCCTGGCGCACCTCACCGGCGTAAACAAAATTTCTGTCTTTCACTGCTGGCAATCTACTTGTAATTGTTTGAGTTGTTAAGTTCTCACTGTTATGTATGACTACTCCAGAAGAAGAAGAAACTTGTGTCACTTCAACGGGAATTACCACCCCGTCGGAGGTCTGAGGTCTTTCTGACTTCAAAACTTGGCGTGTTTCCCTTGATCGAACGAACCCTGTCTTTTCCGGTGGCAATTCAGTCAAATAATACTTTATCGACTGCTCATCTTTGTAATTTCCAGTCCTAGTAGGTGCTTCCTGAATTTGGACGAAGAAGGCGTTGTCAGTGCCACTAACCAACTTATTTGAATCTCTCGGTAACATAGATGTTGTCGTTGAATGCATTTTTAGGCCTCCAGAAAAGGATTTCAATGCTCCCCATGACTCCGTTAACGGTATTGGTGCCTGTAATCGCCACTGTTCGTTTCCTTTGGCTTCAACTTTCCACTCATCCCTTAACTCTTTCTTTTCAAGTATTTTTCCACCCAGTCTATCCTCTCCTTGAAGAAATTCCATTTTATCTGCTGAAAGCCTGTTTCCTTGCAGAAGTTGTTCTGATTTCACTTCTTTCTGAGTAACTACCTGTGCTACCCACTCTTCAGTTATGAGCTTCTCAACATTGGCCGATGGTTTATGTTCTTTGACTTCTGAGGTGAAAACGCTTTCGTTAAAGTCGGGAATGACAAGTCTGTCAGGGCTGGATTTGTCAAGCTTTTTCTCGGGCTCTGTATCTTGGCCTTGAAGAAACTGCATTTTATCTCCTGAGAGCCTTTTTGCCCGTACAGATGGGTCTGATCTGACTTCTTGAGTAACTACTTGTGTTACCCACTGTTCACTTTTAAGCTTGTCGACTTTTGGTGATGATTTATGTTCTGTGACGTCTGTGGTGAAAGTGGCTTGATTAAAGTCGGGAATGACAAGTCTGCCAGGACTAGATTTCTCTAGACTTTTCTCAGGCTGGGTGTGTTGACTTTGAAGAAACTGCATTTTATCTGCTGAGAGCCTTTTTGCCTGCACAGATGGGTCTGATCTGCCTTTATCCTTAGTAACTACTTGTGTTACCCACTGTTCAGTTTTTAACTTGTCGACTTTTGGTGATGGTTTATGGTCTGTGACGTCTGAGGTGAAAGTAGCTTGATTAAAGTCGGGAATGACAAGTCTGCCAGGACTAGATTTATCTAGACTTTTCTCAGGCTGGGTATCTTGACTTTGAAGAAACTGCATTTTATCTGCTGAGAGCCTGTTTGCCTGCAGAAGTTGCTCTGATCTCACCTCTTCTTGAGTAACTACGTGTGTTACCCACTCTTGAGTTTTAAGCTTCTCGACTTTGGGGGATGGTTTATCTTCTTTGACTTCTGTGGTCAAAGTGGTTTGATTGAAGACGGGAATGAGAAGTCTCCCAGGGCTAGATTTATCTCGCATCTTTTCGGGCTGTGTCTCTTGGCCTTGAAGAAACTGCATTTTATCTGCTGAGAGCCTTTTTGCTTTTACAGATGGGTCTGAGCTGACGTCTTCTTGACTAACTACTTGTGTAAGCCACTGTTCACTTTTTAGCTTGTCGACTTTTGGTGATGGTTGATGTTCTTTGACGTCTGTGGTGAACGTGGCTTGATTAAAGTCGGGGATGACAAGTCTACCAGAGCTAGATTTATCTCGCATCTTTTCGGGCTGTGTCTCTTGTTCTTGAAGAAACTGCATTTTATCTGCTGAGAGCCTTTTTGCCTGTACAGATGGGTCAGATCTGACTTCTTCCTGAGTAACTACTTGTGTTAGCCACTGTTCACTTTTTAGCTTGTCGACTTTTGGTGATGGTTTATGGTCTGTGACGTCTGTGGTGAAAGTGGCTTGATTAAAGTCGGGAATGACAAGTCTGCCAGGACTAGATTTTTCTAGACTTTTCTCAGGCTGGGTATCTTGACTTTGAAGAAACTGCATTTTATCTGCTGAGAGCCTGTTTGCCTGCAGAAGTGGCTCTGATCTCACCTCTTCTTGAGTAACTACCTGTGTTACCCACTCTTGAGTTTTAAGCTTCTCGACTTTGGGCGATGGTTTATGTTCTTTGACTTCTGTGGTGAAAGTGGTATGATTAAAGTAGGGAATGACAAGTCTCCCAGTTGTGGTTTTTTTTAGACTTGTGACGGGCTGTTTATGTTGGCTTTGAAGAAACTGCATTTTATCTGCTGAGAGCCTTTTTGCTTGCAGAGGTGGTTCTGATTTGACTTCTTCGAGTGTGATTTCCCGGCTTACCCACCCATCAGGTTTGTCTGTTTGGTCTTTGGTCGATGGTTTGTTTTGATTGACCTGCTTTGTTGAAGTCTGTTGAGTTAAGTGGGGAATGAGAATTCTGTCGCCGTGAGATTTGGCGTGTGTGATGTTCTGTGTCGTCATGTTTTCTGTATTTCTTGCTGCTAGAGGTCCTTTTTCCCTTTTGGTTCTGGTTATTGAGTGCTCTCTATAAGCCTTTGACCCAAAATTCTTTTGAGAAGTTGTTGGATTTGAGACTGAGTAAGAGTGTGTTGTTGACTGCTGAGTTCCTTTTTTTATCACTTCATTGAGTTGCCTTTTTTGTTGGGATGAATTTTTGGCATTGTTTTCTGATATAGATACCATATCCAGTTTGGATAATATCGTCTTAGGCGTGGGTGTAAATGCCTGTTTCGTTCCGATAGTGCTTTTTATGTGAACGTCATGATCTTGGTCTGTTACCAGGTATTCTGTGTTTGTCTCTAAGGATACATTGGATATTTCTGCATGTTTTGGTTTGTCGGTGGTAAAGTTTGTTGTTGTTTGCATTTCAGGCTGGTATCTTGTGACATTTTCTAACACAGCTATGCCATCACGAACTCTGTATGTATAACTAGTTTTTGAGCTTCGTTTGGTGGTAGCTGGCATATTAGTAGAGTCCAAGTTGGTGAGTTTTCCAAGGTTGTTGTTGGCTGCAGGAGTTGAATGTCCATTTTTTGCTTGGATATGTTCTTTTAATTCGGGAAGACTTCGATCAATATTAGAATTGATTGTTGTTGTAGTAATCGGCGCTGCCTCGGTAGCGAGGTGTTTTTTCTCTTCTCCATTTATAACAAATGTTCGAACTATTGTTGTACTGTTTTCGGTATAAGCTGCATTAGCATCATCACTGCTTTGAGTTTTGAAGAGTATTTCACTTCCTTGATCTTTAGCAATTTGTGGGCTCTCTGCAACTGCTTCTTCGTAACTCGAAGAAAACGTTTCAGGATTTAGGAAATTGCCCCCCCTTACTTCAATCGGGTGTTGTGTCGAAGCGCTGGAATACGAAAACACCTTTCTCGAGATAATTTGTGACATGGTGAGTAGTTTCTTTCTGTTATTTAACCAAGCGGCACCGTCCACTGACTTTGGAGATTTCTCCGTTTTACATGTTCGATTTTTTGCTGCGTAAAAAATGAAGAAGAGGGATTGAGTGTGAGCTGGTTCCTAGGGGAAGTTGCGAAATCTCAACCGGGGCCGGGATTTTAAGGAATTGATTCTAGATATATTGTTTAATCTTTCATGTTAATCTAATTATCTATCTTGATAGGTTGATTGATTTTCAACTGATACAGGAAACAACTGTGGCCGTAGCACAGTCAAGCCTGTATTAAGCGGCCCATATTTATGGACAACCCTGTATCAAGCGGTCGGTTGTCAAAGTCCCGACATTTTTTAATCCCTGTAATTTTCACCTTTATCACGCTTTCACCTCTATTAAGTCGAAACGGCCGTTTTGTATCGTCTTCCACCTGTATCGAACGGTTACTTAAAGCCGAACCCCTGAAATGACACTAACAGTTATCTCTCAAGTTAAATTTATTCCAATCTTGGACTGTGAGAACAAATATTTCGCACAAACATCAAACAAGTCAATTGCCGCTCACCCTGTATTAGCAGTCAACCTGTATAAAGCGGTCACTCCGCCATTCCCATTGGATAACCGCTTCATACAGGTTCGACTCTAGTACTCTTAGTCTCTTTCCTGAAGAGCCCTCCTGAAAACTGAGGCATGATAGGTGTGGGCGTTTTTATAAGATCTCAGCGGGGTAGAAATACCATGAAGGAAAAGTGTAAGAAATTTGGAGCTGACGACCCCTTATCGAATATCCTTTGGTAAAAGTAAATCATTCTCTCTGACGAGGGGCTAACGCTCGAAAGGTCAGCTTTACAATGAACGATTTATATCATCCACTCAGTTAATAAAATCAAATTATTTAGTTCTTATTAACGAGCGGGAGGTCTGTATGGGAGAATCTTGACCGAGGTCGTCAGTACAGACCGAACGCAGCGAGGTCTGTACCAGCGACCGAGGTCAAGATTCTCCCATACAGACCAACCTAGCTCGGTTAATAAGATGTTTATTATATGGCTGTGTCTTAAATGCCAATTTTTTTTTATATTCTTCGTACCTTTTTTTTCTAGACCGGTCTAGATGGCGCCTAGATGGGAAAATCTAGACCGCTTTCAATATTTATTTCCTCTGCCAATAAGACAGGAAACATCAATCAACTCCTTCAAACGCTCTATTAAAACATATTTACTGATTGTACTGCGCTTTTGAGTATTTTTATACAAAAAGTGCAATATAAGTATTAAATATTATTATTATTATTATTATTATTATTATTTCAGTCAATCAAATTCGTGAATTCGGTAGTTCCCAGTCCTTGTGAGACACAGCCATATAATAACTTTTAATATCAACGCCCCTCAGCCCTCCCGTTACCTACTCAGCACCATAATTTCTTCAGAAATTTACTCGCTTTGAGTAACTAATGGTAGTTATTGCGGTACATGTTTTGTAGACAGCTTATCTCTCTAAAATATCCATATAATTATTACGCAGTATTTACCAGTCCATTACCTCTATTTTTAAGAACAACATAAGCAGCTTTCTTATAAATGTTAAGATGTTTGGTGAATCAACGTTGTTGTCGAGGTATTAGTTGCTGCCTTTGCTTCTCTAGAGTGTCAACCATAATTAGGAAAGTGTTTTTTTTGGCGTTATGCCTAGTGGTACGTGTTTAACGAGCGATTGTTCACCGTAGCCTATTATCTTAAGCGATGCGTGAGATATCGTGCTTTACAACCCGAAACAACTCAACTTTTAAGTATAAACTGATCGACTCTTAGATTAGGAAGACCAATTATCACATTCACATTAACGAAATACGGCGAAAACCCATGGGATTTCCTGGCTTTTTTTTGCCTTGAAGCATACTTAACCCCAAAGAAACATCGAAAGCGATATCGATATTAAATTCAAATACGTTTAAGATTGTATATTTGGTGTAACAAAGCGGATGAGAGAATTTTTCTTCTGCCGTTTACCGTCTGCTACAAGTCTTATGCTTAAGTTCCTAGCAACTCTCTCGACAGGGTACTTTTGTTCTGAAAAGGTTCAGAAATCCGAAAATGGCTTTAAAATCCAGGTATATTGGATTGGTTCCGAGACTTCTTTCCTTGGATTATTTTTATCGATATATCAATTATCCTTAGTCATTACTTAGAAGATTTATTGTCTTAAACTCCAAAAAAAAAAAAGGAGGTGTTTATTTGACTTTTCGCGACTCCCTCAGAAAGAACGAGATTGCCGACAATGGATTTATTTTAGTAACCTTTGTGCATGTTTTAGTCCAGTTGGGTTGACACAAGCAAACTATTCAACTCAAGCATACGTACTCAAAAATACTCAAACGTGTACACAAAACGTTAAGCCGATTCTCTTTAATCTATGGCGTTTCCAAGAGCCGAAAATATTTTATTTTCAATTAACTGTGTATTGTATTTAAATTAGACAGCCGCATCATTTGTTTTATTAGTGTAAACTCCTACGTACCCCTATATAATAGACAATGAAAGGTTGAGATTGGTTTTGCTGGAAAGTTCCGTACTTCGATAATGCAAAATAATTCATTTATAACGACGATAGATTATTCCTTCTTGCCCTGTCACATATTCTCAACAATTTTACAGTGCCCCATATTCTCAACAATTTACAGTGTGTTTAGCATTCTTGTATAGAACAAGCTCTAGACACGTTGTGCTCGAATTCCCCAAGCGTGAAAAAGCAAATACAAGTTCAGTTGGACAACTGACTGAGTTAAGAAAGTTCGGAGATCTATTGAGGAGTTTTGAAATAAACTAATAGAGATCAAGCCGTAAACTGAAAAGTGATGTGAGAAAATGAACACAAAAATTATAAGATTGTTCCAACAAGTTCCGTGATCATCGAACTGCAGTCAAATAAAGATGTAATAACTACAGCTTTCTATGTTTTTGTGATAGAGAACATAAATTATTTCAGCGTATGGCTAGTGTTACGAATAAGTACCTAAGAGAAATGCAGGGTCTCGACTTCCCTCGTATACCTCTTATCCGCCTCACTCTACGTATTTTTCAAAACTTAAAACTTTTGTACAGCTCTCAATGCTTTCTTTCTTAGTCCTGAGATAAGGGAAAGCAAAATGTTACCTTCTTTCCGGAGAGGACTTGTAAATAAAACAAATGAACCACACTGCTCAGCGCGATTTTATTACGTTGGGTCTTGACAAAAGATGTGGCCAGTGGCATCACCAAGTCAAACGAGCAAGTCCAAAGGGCTACCCGTAATATTCCAACGAACTGAAACAACAGGATGATTAGTAAACAGGGTTATTCGAGTGTGACTGATCCAAATATAATTATCACAACTAGAAGGTTCGGCTTTCTACGTGAAGTTGGTGTTGTCCAAACACATCCCGTTTCCCTCTTGGCCGAATGTTCACTTTCTAGCCCACGAAAGGTACCACGATTGCTAATTGATTCGTGATTCAAAACCGCAGACAATATGAAGCTGTTTGCCGTCAGTTTGTTTGGTCGCCTTTCTATTCTTTTTGCTGATAAAAAATTGAATTCTCCTGAACTGTTTTCAAGAACTGTCAGAAAACTGCTCTAATCGCTTTCTTTGTTGAGAATAATGGCTTCTTTATTCGACCATAACTAACGCGGCCAATTTCCCACGCTTCTTTTGAAGTTGCTACCTTTCACTAGGGTAATTCCCAGGCCATGGAAAACCGACAGAATTTGTAGCACGAACATTGCTAATTCGTTAATACTTTGCACGCACAAGCTGAAAAGTTTAGATGTGTGTCTTCGTTTGTCAGTGTTAGTCATTTAATGACCTTCTAGGGGGGTAGTGATTTAGATTTATGTGACTCGAGACAAATGTTATGTGAATTAATGATTCTGTATCGTAATCGTCAAACTAATATCATTACCCCTTACTTTTTAATCAGTGGTAAACACAGCTATACCGCTTTTTAACAACCAGTTATTGGATCTTTCAATCTATTTACCCACCAATCTTTCTGGAATTTTCAAAAATTATCTGCACGATTGGTGAGCGAAAAATAAGTGAATAAGGAAAAGAAAGTTTCTTCTTGTGCATTCTTACAATGAATGTTTCCCACGGTTTTGCATAACATTCTAGTATTGATCTCGTCTTCAAGATCTTCAATTTTATCCCTAGCAACTGTCTTCAATGGCATCTGAGACGTAAGCAATAGAGGTCACTCTGTGAAACAAAGTGAATGAACTGGAACCAGCGGCTTCCGTGCAACGGGTCCCCGCAGAGTTATTAGTGATATCATGATAATTTTAACATTGGTGACGTAGATATCACTCCGGGAATATAAATACTTATTGTGAACTATCAATGAGTAGTTAACACAAGTGATATAATTTGAAGTTTAGAAAGATATGGATAATTCCAGTAATTTCAAATGACAAGCACAAAATAAATAGTTTGAAAATACCACAGGTAGACTCTCAAGTTTTCATTATATTCGACCGACTACTTTACCGCAAATGGCATGACACGTCTTAACAAAGTATTGGAAGCAGCTGTTTCTTAGTAACAAAGATATTGTTTTAAAGAATTGTAGTACTTTACTTCAAATGAAGGACTATGGATCGGATGTTCCAACTTCCTGTTTGTGGCCTCTTGAAAAAGATTTTTTGCGTGATTGTTACCGTAGAGATCGCACGCATCCACTTTTTATCCGGAAGCGGTAATAAGCCAATTTAGAGGATAGCACAATCAATGTAAGGAGACCGTGTTGCTATGCCAAGAAACTGCGGAGTGAACATTACATGCGTAACCAAAACAAACAATCAAGAAATCGAGTTGCAACGATATACAAACATAAATAACGGTCGTTTCGTTAACGACCAGTTCGCTGACGTCTTAGGTCATTTCGCCAAAGTCTCAGATCAGTTTGCTAACATCTCGTGAATCATTTCGCTAACGTTCTAGGTTAATGCGCTAACGTTTCTTTATAGTTTGTTTTCTTCGAAGTCGCGACAAAGAAAATGTACCTTAACACACGGGCGAGATCGGCCAAAAATGCATTGAGATCGACCTTTTGAAGTCGCAGCGATTGTATGAACCGAATCAACTTTCAGTTTGTATTGAAATGACTCAACTCTTCCCTAAGACTTTTCGGTCAATTAGAAGTCGATCATGTTCTGGCGATGGAATCATTAAATGTTATGAAATGCGTTAGCGAAACTAATTATGAGACATTACCTTACTACCCTGAGACGTTGGCGAAACGACCTAAGACGTCTGCGAACTGGTTGTCAACGAAGCAGTTACCCTGATGGTGCATTGTTAGGTTTTTGTGTCGTTCAAAATTGTTTCTCACTGAAAAAAAAAAAGCCAGAGCGACAGGAAGTACAAATAAATGACTCAACAAATAACACTGCAATCGAGACAAAAAGTCAGGCTTAATTTAAATTATTTATTCCAAATGATTGACTTACATATAATTCAAGTCCTACAAAGACAACACCAATTACAGTTTCTGTAATTTGAAGAACTATTTAGCGGGCGCAAATTTTACAATTTGAACCGGTCAACTATGAATTTATACTTTCACCCCTCTGGGTCTGTTTTAGGCCTGATGTAAAGCTGTTTAATTCTTTGAAAATGAGCTTTCAAATAGCTACCTTGTTGTGCTATAAATCTACTTGTTTCCGCCGGTCAAAAGATATTTCGAATTCTGGTCTGAATATCGACAAAGCGAATAGTGGGGATTCTAAGTAAAGCTAAAGTACGGACCCTTGGTGGGTGATAATGAAAAGGTTCGCTTAAGTCTGGAGCCCTTTGTGGGTGATGTTCCTTTCAGTGAGGGAATTGTGTGCCCTCAAAGAGTGATTCTGAAAATTTCCCAAATTTCCCCAATGCTTATACATGCACTACCATCCCTATCAAGAGTGCATTATCTTCTTGTCATGTATTACTTAAGAACTACACACCCCAAACAATATGGCGGTTCGGTAAGTAAAAGACTGTTTAATAATGCGTCATGCGTGCGCATGAGCAAACCATATATGGTAGCACACAACATACAACACACTGGAAAGCCATAACACTTCTCTAAGAATATCCTGATCAATGTCGTTTTGGAAATATTACTTTACTTATTCATACTACGACAGATCAGAGACGATCGTGACATCGTAGTGGCAATTAACATGTAACTTCTCCTAATAACACTTTACATTGTTCAACAAACAGGTGATGAGAATACGCTCACTTATCTGGTAGAAGCTGTTGTTACCTTGACCAGAAAACAAATTCCCGTAACTAATTTACAAGGAAATGTGTAACAGATAGAGGGGAGAATTCACAATCAGATCTTGAGAGTTAAAAGAGTTAGTGATTTCTCGGTGCTTATGTTTTATCTTGTTACAAAATTTTGAAAAAACCTGTGAAACGACTCCGCGAATTGTTGATATCTAAAAGACTGATATTTATATCAAACCTTTTCTTTTATAATTCTACGAAAAACGAACTTCGTTGAGAACTGAGGGGTACAGCCAGTTCTTCGACATCTTTGTTCCATAAAAACGGGCTCTCGTTTGTGATTTTAGAGTTATGCGTAACGAAGAATGATGACAGTCAACAATGCATCTTAAAGTCACATTCTTCAAGAGTTAAACCATTTCTTGTCGACTTGGTCATTAAAAAGAGGTTAATCATAATGAATTGCTTACAGATTTAAGTAAACAGTAACTTAACATTGGAAACATATTTCATATTTACCCAAATTTTACTTTAATGTTGACTATTTTTTTCAAGTTTTCGCCATTTTCTTCTCTTTCTTACGTTGATTCTCAGATGGTGAAGGAAAGGTGGTCATACTCTGACTTGCTAATACCAAAACTGTTAATGCTGTGTACAAAAAAGCCTTATAAATCCAATTACGTAAAAAAAAAAAATGCTTTTAATAGCAGTAGGGTATTTTATTAAGTTATCTTAAAGTACGCTGAGCACGCTAAAGCGAGATGTGCCTTCCCCCCCCCCCTGCCCTTTTTTGTATCATGATATAAGAACCCCCAAAATTAAATTTAATCAAACGTGAATCGTTCGTTGTCTGGACCCACCGAATTTTTTTAAATTTCAATACAAAGTTTATCGTGATTTTTCTAGCTACCCAATTAAGCTCTAATCACTACATCATAATATATTTCATTGATTATTGAAAAACATTCGTTGCTCAAAATGCAATGCTTTTTGGTCTTGGCTGGCGCCCAGACGTCCCTCTTGAAACAGCGGAGGGAGGCTGGGAAAGATTGGAGTCATCTTGCCATATCAATAAGTCCACGTTCCCAATGCTCTTCGGTCTCGCACGCTTTTCACTCTTTGCACGCCGGAGCTGTACTGGTTCGCTGTTGCTCTTCTCAAAGGCAGCAAACATACTCGTGTTGAGTTTCTTAGGAATTGGTTTTTCCTCTGGAGAGTATGACTACAACCAGAAAACCTCAAGATTATTTATCATAGCAAGTGTATCGTTAAACAACTGTGCCACTGGAACTCTAAGCCAAAACTGTGTCCAGGCATGAGCAAACGTGGATCATCCAAGAAGAGGCGAAATCTTGTGAAAACCGACAACTGAACTTATTTCTTACGAACCAAATGCCAATCTGTTTGTTTTTCTCTTGGAACTGGCCCATAAGTTGCTCACAAAATGTAGTTTTGCCTAGGCGCCGTTCTACTACGTTACATAGTATTCTTTTTCTTTTCATAAAAAAGTTAAAATTTATTAAGATACCAGTCTTTGGAACTGTTCTACTTCTATCAGTATGGCTGTTCAAACATGTGATATAGTCCATTTATAATTTTGAAAATGGGACAAATTAAACGTCTATGTATCCGAATTAAAAGGTTTCATTCGTTCCCGTCTTCTTGTTCGGAATTTAGTTAACTTTGTTAATTTCTACATAAAAGTCTTAAGTTTACTTCTTTTGGTGAAAGAACAGGTCCAATAGTAATAGGTGAAAATAATATGTGGAAAAGTGTATTAAACACACCTCAATTGTTATGTCTTCCACTTGAGTTTCTTGACTAGACTCCCTCCTTAAAGAAAGCATTCGTGTTTAAATATATGTCTTAAAGGGAAAGTACGGTCTAGAAAAAGTTTACTTATATCAAAAGTTCCTAGCTTGCGTTGTCCTAACTGGCTATTCATTTGAGCTAAAGCATTTTAGTTGCGAGCAATTACGTTCCAAAAATCTGCATTTTAAAATTGAAATCCGCCATCTTTGTTATGACGTAGCAATAGTCAAACATGCTAATTATATCCCTGCTGGAGTGGATGTGAACAAGAAGAACAGCGGCGAGGGGGGCGCTACTTGTTAAATTCTCTACTTGGATTTTAATCTAGCTGAGAGGATGTAGTACACCCATTTATGTTTCAAACGAAACATGGCTCGTTTTCAGGGGAAGGAGATGCTTCCATTGGGGAGAAAGAGAGAGAGAAAGTCAAGAAAATGAATTTCAAGATGAAACGTCGACCCGCTCAGTCGCACACGTCTTGGAAATCGCGCGTGGTTCTCTTGCAGCAACTGTCAAGGGAAACCTACGGAAAACGAGAATGTGTCCTCCTAAGAATTAAATGTACCAGGACACCGACTCAATTTGATCATGAAAAGCAAAGGCTTTTTCTTCAAATAAATCCTCGCTCTTGAGTGATAGTTATTTTGCTAAAGAAAACGGCAGTGCCCGCTACGGATTCATTTTACATTGCTACCTCGGAATGAGATGAACTATTTTTGCACTTACAGGAACCAAGCTTCGGTGTATAACTGAACACGAGCCACTTGGAACTAATAAGATCAGCCCCAATTGGCATGCAACAAGTTAGAAATGATAGACTTGCATTTTGAAGATCATTCTTCGTAGGCGTAAACACTGACAAACACTTAGTTGCCAAAATTAACGCAGACAAAAGGTAGAAGTTAATTGTTACGAATTCAATTTTGTTTGTTTCAGCACTTAACTTTAATTTGGGAAAGGTGTTTTTTATCTTTGTTACTTGGAATTAGCTTCAACGCAGTATTTTTTATTAAAATATGTTTGAAATGTCGCGACTTGTGTGAAGTAGAGCATTGTTATTTTCGACGCGCGCCGGAAAGTCGCCTCTATCACACACTGTTTACATTAGAAATAACCTCAATATAACTGAAGCTAAAATGAAACTCGATTTCTTTTGAAAGCACAAGCACTGTATAATTACATCAAGTAGTTGGTTGGAAGACATAAAAAATTTTATATTATTTTAATTGTGTCCAATTGATATGATATAGTGAAATATGGGCGCCTGCCTGACGAAGGATAATTTGTATTTGTCGCAAACGTGACTGTTTTGACAATTTACTAGCGATATATTGAATGTCATTTAGTTTTTTCGCAGAAGAATGTGACTGGTGGGGTAAAGAAAATTTACACGGTGAACTCATAACAGACTTAGGAAAGACAAGATATATTTGTACACCACTTGGAAAGGCGCATGATGTTGGAAATCGGCTTTGGTCAAGGGTAACGACTGAAAATTTACCACACAGTGTACCACCATTCCGAGCTTCAACTTATTCGCTTACAATAAAATGGTTTGCACAAACTCATAGAATAAATAACTGAGATTTGTGTTGAATATGGAAAAGGAAAGTATAGCTTTCAGTTCGAAGCGAAGGTCAACAAGGAAAACTTACATGCTTGTATATCTCACTGGAAGTCTTCGTTTTGGCAGTTCTGAGGTTTTGCAGGGTTCGTCAAGCCGTCGTCGTGGGTTATTTTTGCCGGCTAACTTTTCTTTAATATTTCACATTCCAGTAACTTGTGGAGGCTTACACTTTTTCCTACTGAATTTTAGTATGTATTTTGAGATTCAACCACAGGACAGTTGACCTCATTTCAACTATTAGGAGTATTCGAAATTGTTTTCACAAAAAGCCAAACTGGTCAACAAGGACAAAGTGCCGAACTAAGTTTGACTATTGCTACGTCACAATGACGTATATCCAAGATGGCGATTTTCTAACCCCGAAAGTTGTAAAAATGGGCAACTTCGAAGCGCTCTTGTCGCTAATACAAAGCAAACTAGACAAAATGGCAGTTATTTTCGAACTCATGAGGAAAAAGTCTTCTAATTGAGATAACCTTTTTCTAGACCGTACTTTCCCTTTAAGGATAAGCATGTCTATCAAATCATAGCAGTTTTGGTTTCTTTTGTTAAAACTGAACGTGTCGAACGTATTCTATCTACACTTGAAAAACCTGATTACGACTAAAACTAAGCAACTTTTATCGGTATCTCACGCAAGTATGTTACACTAGAAGTTTTCTAATGAGCTCTTAATGAACCATGAGTCTCGCACCGTGACTAAGAGTAAAATTAGTTGATAAACTACAAGGTTTGAAATGAAATCGTATTTACCTCTCCAAGGACGACAATTTTTCAAAGGTACCAGCGGTGCCATTCATATCTTTATCTCGCGCCCCAGAAGACAGACTTTCACCAGAAATACTGCGGAGACTTTCAATCGAGTTTGTCCTTGTAGATTCCTCGTCTGTCAGTGATCTTGGGCCTTTGATCTTAGTGGACTGACGACGAGAACTTGAATTTTGGCTATCACTTTCAAATTGTAAACGAAGTTCCTCCGGTAAACGACCAACACCAACACCTTTATCAGTACTCTCTAGCTCATGTTCCTTGGGTTTCGATGTTTTTCTTTCAATCTTTTCAGAATCGGAGTCGGAAATTGATTTCCTGCTTCCGGTTTCCAGTGTCTGAATAAGATCACTCTCTTTCTCATAGCCTGCGTCTACTTCCGTTTGCATCCGCCTTTGTTCCTCTAATCTTAACTTGGCCAACTCTTCCTGTTCCCGACGCATTCTCTCCTCTGCCATTCGTTTAGCACGCTGTGTTCTCTCAACTGACTCGTGAGACCTGGCATTCAAGAACTTATCCACATCAAGTCTCTGGCCTGCGTTGATCTTTTTCTCAAACTCAACATCTTCTTGAGTCTCAGAGGGACCCCCGCGGTCAACATAAGCTTCGTTCATATCGACTGGAGAGCTTTCAACTACCTCCTGGCTTTTGACATTGACAACTTCTTGGATTACTTGCGGATCCTGCTTGCGCGGTTTTGCTTTCGGGGCGACTGATCCTTCCTGCTGGAACACAGAGAATTGTTCGTAATTCAGTTTTCCAACACTCTTGGGTTTATCACTCTCTGCTTCACTAGCACGGAAGTCCAAACTTCCCTCGGCAAGCAATCTTCTCCTTTCCTCCTCTTGGCGAAGCAGTTCTTTCTCATCTCTTTCCCGCTGGAGACGCATTTTCCGCCGGGCCGTTTCGGAATCATCCATTCCGAGAATGATAACACTGCCATCATCATAATTCTTTGTCCTAATCTCTTCATTAATTTCACACTCTTGTATTTCAGCAGGTGTAGATTGAACTTCTTCCCTCTTTTCAACCACGATTGAACCTTCCCTCTGGGTTTTTCTGGGTCTACCGTATCCTCCCGCAGCATCCTGTTCAAAGACACTAAACTTGTCGGCGCTAAGCCTGCTTCTTCTTTTTTCCAAAGTGCCAACAACCTCAGAAGTAGAATCGTCGTCCTGAAACCTTAACATTTCATTACGTTCTTCTCTTAGCCTTTGTTCCTCTAATTCTTTGGCTCGCCGCTCGTTTTCTTCGGCTTGCTTTCGTTGCTGTATAATATACCAGTCCTTGTCTAGTTTTCCAACACTCTTCCGTTTTTCTTCGTAGTCTGCGTCTTCGGATAGAAAAGATCCTCTATCTTCCTCAAACGGACTGCTTTCAATCAAATCAACAGAGGCCACTTGAACAGTTTCTACATCAGCTTTTGGTACCTTGGGTTCTTTTGTTACCTTCTGCTCGTACCGGGGTTTTGACTTCAGCTTTGGTTCTTCCGTAGAATTTTGCTGAAATTGCAAGAACTTGTTCGCGTCAAGACGCCCTACACTGTAAATATCCTTCTCAGAACGAGTCACAGGAACATCATCAAAGATGCCGGTCTGGAATTTCCTTTTAGCTGCTTCTTTTTGCCGACGCATTTCCTCCATACGCATCTGCTCCTCTTCTTCTTCTCTTCGTAATCGTTCTTCTTCTTCCTCTCTAACTCGTTGAGCCTCTTCACGCCGACGCCTGTTTTCTTCTTCTTTACGAGCTCTCGCCTTCTCTTCCTGCCTTCTGATTTCCTCTTCTTTGCGGATCCTCTCTTCTTCTCTAGCACGGGCTTCAGCTTCTAGCCTCTTTCTACGCTCTTGCTCTTTTTTGAGTAATTCGCGCTCCTCGCGTTCGATTCGACGTCGCTCCTCTTCTTGAAGTCTTTTACGCTCTTCTTCCTCTTGCTTGCGAAGAAAATTGAACTGGTCTTGACTTAACCTCTTAACAAGTTTGGATTTCACTTTCACCTCGTACTCATCGTGTTCGTTTCCTTCAAGGAAACCCGTAGCAGGTGAAGACTCCACAAGTTCCTCATCAATCAATTGAACAAGCTCTTCTTCCTGCACAAAAGGATCAGGTGAGGTTTCTTTTGGTACTTTACTGGGCTTCTGTTCTGGTTTAGTTTTCAACACGGGTGTCTCATCTCTCGTTTGCTTTTGCAAGAAAGGACTCTTGTTAAGGACGAGCTTGTTCACCTGCCCTTTTTTCACTTTGAGATCGTATTCATCCTCGACAAACTCGTCATCTTTTTCTATAGCAACTTCAAGATTGCTGTCGTCCTTGGACGTGGTTTCCGTAACCAACAGGTGTTGACTTTTTACGATTTCCTTTTTGGGCCTACCAGTACTTGCGGGCTCTTCTTTTTTCTCGTTCATAAACTGAACAAGTAGAGTGGGATTGATTCTTCGAATCTCCTTGGTTCGAACTTTTGCTTCGAATTCGTCATCAATCGAGTCTTCATCTTCCTGTTCAATGGATTCAAACGCTTCGCGTTCCCGTCTTCTTTGCTCTTCTATTCTGGCACTTTCAATTTCCTCCAGTTCCTGCTGTTTTCGTTTTTCTTCCACTTTGCGCCATTCAGGAATACCGTCGTCTTCAGTTTCCTCCTCGTAACTCTGCAAGATCGCTCCACCAAAGTTGACGACTTCAGGCTGGCGAAAAGAAAAAAAAGACCAATCACGCTTTTAAAAAAAAGTGCACAGTCTGTTCACGGACACCACATCACACCCGAGCTTCTGTTCAGTATGGAATGTTTCTGATTATTTCAACACAGTCAAATTTAATATCAGTGATCCATATCAACGACGTTTAATGCTAGTCTGCGCAATAATTTTTCACGCAAGACTTGAATTTATTTATACCCAACCAGGGAGGTGCGTGAGCTTTAAAACAATGCCTTCCAAGGACATTAGCACTGTGAACTCAAATTGGAAAGCAACAGTCGATATTTCGTGATATAGCGTTACATGGGTGCCGCCGTATGGTCCTTAGTGTAAAAAAGAAAACAGGAAACAAACAAAAAGCACCTTTTTTTCATACTGCAGTCGCAGAACAGAATTATGAGACTGCACTGCGTTTGTTATTATCAAGCCAGATCGCTCTACAGGTTAACAGTATATCAAACGAAAGAAAGGTGTGTGTTCGGTTGCAATAAGTAATCTAAAGGGTGCCTTGCGAATTTAGTGTATGGTTCGAGTTGATCTAATGCGTGACATGCCGCTTGACAACATACTTTTAACTACTTGGTACAAACAAAACACGTATGATCGCGTTCATGTGGATCGTTAAGGACAACGGCATGCTTGAATACCTTATTTTCCTCTTCCCAGTCTCTTCTTGGTGCAGACTCGACAGTAGAGTGTTCAACTTTCTCTACGTAGATTTCGTCTTGGATAATTCTGGCGCTGCTGGACTCATTCCGGCGGTAGTCCGGTACGCTATCCGTTTCCTTGGATTGAAGAAAAAGACTGTTAGCCAGCTTCAACTTTCTGATTTGTCCACTCCGTACTTTCTCTTCATACTCATCCTCCACCTCTCTTTCTTGGTCTCCTGCGGAGCGGTCTTCGAAGGGGCTGTCAATAACAGGTGTAGATTCTGACAAAGAGACACTGGATACATCTATTTGTTGCTCTTTGGGTTCCATCGATTTCAGGGGTCTTTCTGATTCTTTGTCTGCTTCCTTCATGAACTGAAACAACAGATTTGGATTAATCTTCCTGACTTCATTTGTGCGCACTTTGGTTTCAAACTCGTCGTCACTTGAATCAAGTTGCTGGTGTGACTCCTCTTCCATAGCCTCTCGTTCCCGCCGTCTCTTTTCCTCCAGTTTTGCTCTTTCGATTTCTTCCCGTTCCTGTTGTCTTCGTTGCTCTTCTACCTTTCTCCACCCTGGAATATCATCGTTGTCATCACTTTCCTCCTCATACACGTAGGTGTAAAGCGAAGATGAGAGAGGCTAAAAGTGATGAATGTACTTTAGCTGAAAGATGTTTAGCTATGATCTAGGTGGAGGGCATTGGGTTTTTCCGTTTCCAAATCGAAATCGGTTTTTGCTTTTTCCTTTCAAAGTTACATCTTTTGCTGTTGAAAACCCTTTTCACTCCCAAGATCTCATTAGTAATTACCCTTACTGCCTGTCAGACAATTCTTATAATGTTAGGTTCGAAAATTTGGTATTGTATCATCTAATAATCCCGAAATTGATATTTGTCTTTATTTTCATTACAAGTGTTCTTGATATTGTATTGATATTGTAAGGAGAGATTCTGTCTTGGTAACTCATGGGAGTTAAAAAGGTTAGCATCCGCAGCGGTAGTAGGTTCTTTATTGCAGCATCAGCAAAGCTATCATGCGTTGAAAAGCATTACTGCTAAAGTACCCTTTGGAACCACCCCTCTTTACTAAAACGTGACACCGAACTCCTATCTGTTTGTGATCTTGCGTGAAAAAGTATCCCTCGATACTTATCCCAAGGGTATCTGGAAGTTTTCCTCATCCCATGTTCGTCCCTTACCACCTTAGCACGTTCGCCACATTCAGTAAAATAACTTCGCTCCACCTTTACCATTTCGTCTCAAAAAATCTTTCAACTTGTTTCCCTTCTGCAGAACGTCCCAAGGTGATTTAATTCTAAGGTTCAGAAAATATCATCACAACATATTATTGAAGCCTTACCTCACTCTCTGTTTTAAATTCACGAACCGGGCTGCAAAGGAAATAAATCTCAGATTAACTGTGCTCTTTTTCTCTTCAACAGATTATGAAAATAAAATAATGTCGATAGATGTAAAACTTAGAGATCTTATCATCATGAGACACAAAATGAAATCTGAAAAGTTGATAATCGGCGTAAAGGATTTATTACATGAGATTTCCATTTGTTGGGTAAAAGATGCAACAACTGATTTCTTTCCGATTTCATAGATTAGTTGAAACTGACGTAAACGATTCCTTTTGGTAGTGACAAGGAGTATTTGTTCAACATCATGAGATTATTTTAGTTAGCGATCACTTCTTTTAATCAGTGATATTGTTAGGAGAAATTAAGCGCTAGACACCCTTTGGGGTATAGAGATTAACGCGCACAGTCTCCTTGCAACATCAATACAATGTTTGGCACGCAGGAAATGAGCACAAAGATACTTAACAGCAGAGGGTGTTACAATGTGGCAGCAAATTCCCTGAACTGATCAAGAAGAAAACGTAGCGTAGTTGAAAAGGACAAATATGGGTCACACTATATGTAATTTCTGACGTTTGAGTGACATGGGAACGAATTAGTCAGAAATTAATATTCTGACAGCACGTTGAAGAGGTTCGCGTGGCATCACGGTAGTTTCGGATTGTTTAAGCATTTCTTGGGAAAATTAAGTCATTCTAGGTCCGTCAGTCTTAGGTTTGACCACTTTCTTTTTTCTTATTTACTGTAATTTTGTTTTACAACTCTCTGTAAAATATCACTGCTTTCATTGAATTTTCTGTGTGATTAGTAGTGTAACTAGGTTTATTTTAATTACCCTTTCCTCGGGGTACAGTGCTGCTGCATTAGATGAGGAATACGTTTCCACGTATATTTTGGCCACTTCTAAAAGAGTGCTTTTTTTTTTAGTGGTTTTTCGTATCTGGCGTAGCACAGGCTATTTTTGTATTATATTTTCAGTTTCAGTAAATACTTGCAGTACATTGCAGATTCTACAAGGATACAACAAGGCTGGCTGAATCATCCTAAATAAACTTTCACATTGAATATCTCGCCTGAGTGTTGTCTGAATTTGAAGTTTACCCTCTACACCCTAACATCAGTATGCATATTCTCCATACTGTTCAAGTCTCAATACATTTCCTAAGGCGTTGACAAGGAGAATTTGTTTAACGATCAAGAGTTTCGTAAGTTGGTGATCACTTCCTAGATTCTTGTTACCTTAACAGGTCATTTTGGTTTCTGTTGTAAGAATAAATTAGATTGACAGAGCTGAATAATGAAATGCTACGTCAGTGGGTTGCGGTCATCAAAATTTAGCGGCATTTTCCTATTTCCAGAGGTTTTAAGGAGAAAATTAATTTTTGAAAATTATTAGGGGGTGTACCAAGTTTTTGGAGGTTGTTCTGTAAAAGAAAAGCGGCAAGGAAAACCGCGAAACAACAGAATAGGAAATGATTCATGCGAACGACTCAAAACCCGTGCTTCCGCGGCAAAATCTAGCGCATGCGTGTACGCTATTCAGCTCTGTCAATTAGATGCTAGTCACTCTAAAGAGTCAAAGGGTCAGAAAATAACCAAATGTGGCGGTAAAAAAATGTAATGAAGTGATTTTGCGCCAAGAGCAGTTCTTAAAACCTTAATTTACCTGATGTCTTCCATTTCAGGCTCAGTTTCCTGAACTTTCACTTCAGCTGGCGGGAGAATCTCTTCTTCATAGTTAACAAGTGGCTTTTCATACCGCGAGGTATGGGACGCTCCTTGTGTCTTTTTCAGTGCCGGTCTCTCTTCTGCATTCGCAGGTGCTTGTTGAAACCCAGCAAACAGAGAAAGATTTAGCTTTTTTGGTTGGAAATTACCCGCTTGCTCCCACTGTTTCTCCTCCTTTGTGAGTAGTGAGTTGTGAACTTCAACGGTATCGACTCGAGGGACCCTCTCTTCTTCACTTTCGCTTTCGCTGTCACTTCCTTTATCACTCTCGCTTTCACTCTCACTGCTGCTTTTTAAATCATGGCTTTCCGTCTTGACCTTCCTTGGGACTGGCTGAGGAGCAAAATGTAGAAATTTTAAAGCGTATTTTCACGAGAAATAGACCTGCGCAATATGTCAGAAGGGGATATTTTAGCAGTCTCGCTACGAGCATCCTATCCTAGGTGCTCTCATTCCTCGCGTGTTTCCTTCCTTGCGCGTCTTCTATCAGCCTGCTCTTTCCTAGTCTCGATTCCCACTGGGAAATGCAGTGAAATTGATGTTCAAACTAAACATGTTTTGCTGGTGTGGATGGGGTATCAGTCCGGTTGAGAGCAGTGCAGTGCAGTGCAGTGCAGTGCAGTGCAGTCCATACTGAGTAGATAGAACTTTAACCTAAAGGTAGTCATTCCTTTTTCCTATAATTTATCGACAGGTTCACCCAGGCTAAGAAAATACAACATTTACATGACGATGCTATTGCTTTATGAGTTAAAATCTATCGCTTATGAATTAAATACTCAAGCTACCTGGGGCGGACTTGCTCTGTCTTGACCGTTGCTGAAAAAGAGCAATAACAGGAAATGTCTGTGAGTACTTAAATAAAAATTAATACAAAAAAAAAATCGATCTTAACCAGACAGTAAAAGGAAGGGTAATTTTAAGAGTTAAGTACTATTGCCTGGTCGCTTTTTATTTAACAGTAATTCGGTCTTTGGTTTGAGTAAAAGAATGCGTGACTTGTCGCGTGACAAGTGGCGTGACAATCCACCATGTTTTTAAAATGCTAATTTAAAACAACACATCATTATTTCAGAAATCTCCTTGGAATAATTACCACTGCAGTTTGGTTAAAAATGCCAAAACAGTATTTATAGTAATGATGAATGTTGTGAACATGTAAATATAAGTATTGTGTTTGAATTAAGTCAGCCATACCACAAACAACAAATTTAAAACATTTAAAAGATTCTACAAAACATATCAAATAAAGCACTTCGTTATTTATTTGACTAGAATTTATTATCAGTATTTATAGACCCTTCAGACCCACGCAAAGCCATTAAAACAATCAAGAGTTCAATGTATGCGACCGCAAGTCTACCTTAGTCGGTGAAAAAGTCATTCAAAGACTCAATTTTGCGAAGATTGATCTTAACGCAGCTGTGAAACTTAAAACCACAAATCGACTCAGGAATTCAGGCTTTTAATCCCTTAAACCAACCATCAGTACGTGCCGTTTGAATTAACCGACAGATCTCCCTCGAATATTGGTAATGAAATTTTCTGTACAAACACACAGAAGATGGCGTTTTACATACTACCTTAACGGTGAAAAAAAAAAAAAAATCCAGGAAAATTGATAACCTTACTGCAATGGAGGTCAAGCGAGTGGAACGTTAACGGTCCTTGAACGTGATTAAGATACATGATTGTTTGCTCGTTTCAACTGCAGTCGGTTGTATTTTCATTTAACAGACGGCAAAATTGCCAACGATTTGTAGAGAATCTATTAAAAATTTTCTTACCTTACTTTTCCATCTTCGAGTTGATTACTCTGACTGTCAATTTTCAATTTCGTTGGCACAAGCGCCGCTTGGTCGTCTTCTGTCTCCCCCTTCATCCAGTCGTATCGACTCCTTCGAGGCTTTGGTGTCGGTGTTCCTTCGACAGGGGCCGCTTCAGACAAGCTGTGGAACACAGTTTTTTGTAGCCGACCTGGCTGGAATTGTCCAGCGCTCTCCCATCGTTGCTCCTCCTCGGTCAAATTTGGGTTGATGTCAGTGTCCGCAGATGTTCGTGTTGTGGTGATAACTTCAACCTCCATGTCTCCTTCGCCGTTCTTCTCTTCCAACGGATCAAACTGCTCGCCAAAATAAATTGAAACCTGAGTAACAATTAAGTCTGGAAAAATTTAGTTCACTGCTACTCCAAACCTCGATCAATCTCACGGTATTTTATCAAACGGACCTGTAGACATGCGTGCTATGTAAATTGTCTTGAGAGGCACTCAAGAATTACAATCGGGAGAGTAACTGAGGTGAGATCGGTCAAATTTTAACTTGTCTGGTAACGCATTGCATAATTGTGTATCTTAATTCGTCTAAACTTGTCATTTATTTAAATAGACAATAGAGAGACTGCTTATGGAGTCGTTAGACCGTGAAACGGTCCGTTAAGAGATCAAATAAATAATTGTCGTAAAGTTTTCTAAATTTTTCTTAAAAATAACAAAAATCAGAATAAACGTGGAAACCCGCAAAGTACCTGTATGAGTATGTATCAAAATCCCGTAATTATAAATTCCTTGTGGGTTCTCGAGAGCATAGGAGAAACAAGTTGAAAAATCCGGTTGAAAAAGATGAACTGTGTCGTAGGACATACAAACGCGATGAGAAAAAGGTAAAAAGGTAAAAATGTCTCAAACTTTGACAACACGACCTAGTGGAGCCATTGCTAAATTAAAACAAGAGATTGGGTTACACAAATACGTGTACCTCTGTAATGGCCTGAGACAATAGTAACATTCATTAGAAAAAAAAAAACTATATTTAGGTCAGTAAGTTGGAAAATTTCGAAGAGAGACTTTTATACCACACATCAACATAACGTTATCTTTCACACTCGAAATATAACTAAGTATTCTCGAAATTTGATGTGCAATTAAAAGCAAGCCACCCCTCAACTCTCTTGTTTTTTTTTTCTTTTTTTAATGATAATCCGTATGAAAATTTGTGTTTGATTGATTCTCAGGGGAAAACTGAGCTTCTACCATGATAGGGCCAGTTGTGAATACAGTCCGTTTTTTAAGCTTCAATAATAAGTACTTCAAATATTTTTGTCTTAGAAATATTGACAACAAAGTTGGATTAATGTTGCGTGTCCGTTATCAAACTTGTATATATGATGGAAATACATTAGCCTTTTTGATAGACACAAGGTGTGAGATTCAAATTCTTTCACGGTTGCTATTTGTCAGTCTGTTGTCTTAAGAAAGAAATCGAATTTTAAAAAGTATGCGGACTTTCGTAAAAGTCGGTATAATTTGTAAAAAATTATCTACGTTGTATTGGTTATGAGTTGTTGATGTCAAATTTCATCTTCAACTTTGACTCTTATTACAAAAGCACCACAAGGTTCCTGCAACAATTATTCAACGGCAACAGTACAGTGCGTCCCGAACCGTTTGACAATGATCGACTAGACTGATAGAATGACAATCGACGACTGAATACTATTATTCTTACGTCCTTGAAAGGTTTGTTTATTTTAAACAAGTCGAGGCAAATCTAAGCTCAGTTTTAATCCAAAATTGGCCTTATCCCTATGCAGACCGCTGCAACTTCAGTTATGATGTTTATCAATCAAACAATTTACTTGTACTCACCGACACAGCTTTTTTCTCAAGAGTTACAACTTTGTTGCTTTCTTCAGGCATTTTTTCGTCTTCGTATTCTTCAAAAGACATCACATTGGTGTGGGGCTCAGAAAATGATTCCCACATATCCAGCAACGAACGTCTCTTTTCCTTGATAGATACATCATGATCGTGCCTCTCTTCCTGGCTCTGTTCCTCGCTCCAAGGCTTCACGTCGTTTTCGTACGGTTTTTTCGCCTTGAGCTCTTTCGCTGCCCGTCGTTGGTTTTCCTCGATTCTTCGCTTCCTTTCCTCGTACTCTCTCTCGCGACGTCTTCGGTCTTCCTCGGCGGAATTACCTGTGCGACCTCTGTTGTCCCATGTCGAAATAGGCTCTATGGATGCTGATGACATCCCTGAAGCCTGGTTAACAGAGATTACCGAGATGAGGAACAATAATATACTGTAACACTTCAAGGGCTAGTCGAGAACACCACGGATTTGAACGATGTACGATTTGATACTCATTCACTCAATGGTTATGTAGATTAGGTGATACCAATAGAGGGATTAAACATGCATCAAATTTAGGATGTTATTTTTTTTTAACTAACCGTCGCTAACTGAAATTACTTTTTTATTGGACAAAAGCTAGCCGCCACCCCCCCCCCCTCCCCCCAAATACAAGGTATAAATTAAGAATAGCCATTTCTTTCCTTTGTGAACGTGATGAGAAGCTCGGTCTCGCGCCGAACTCACCGCCAAGGTTCCTTCTCCTCTCAAGACTGCCAGTATTCACTTAGTAGGGTTTTCTCGTGTTTTTTTTCAAACGTTTGGAATGTCAGAATTCTCTTCCCTAATGATAACCATCATCACCCCTTTCGTTTCTAGTTAAATTAGCCACGAGCTTCGAATAAAAATAAAAAAAAACATGCGTCAGCGAGTGCTGAATAAGCATTTATTTCAGTTCGTTTAAAGGTTGTCCTGTTTTATCAGACGAAATAAGAGTCTTTTTCCTCCTTGTGCGTTTTGGTCTGTGTTACATTTATATTTTCTTTTCAATCAGCTTCGATTGGTGGGGTCCATTTTAACTTTTCTGACCCCACTCACTCTCTTCCCATTCTACACCTACATTTTAAAAGGGAATCAAATTTCGAGCTGAACAGAGATAGGGCGAGATTATTTTTTCTATTGTAATGCCTAATGGATCTGTCACCCTCGAAAGTCACTCACCTCGTCAAGGTCTGAAAAGTTCTTAGAGTTAAGCGCGGTCTCAACTTCTCCTTTCTTAACCACACTGATGGGCGCCTCCATATCAACTAGCTTCGATGGTCTGGGAAATAGCTCTGCTTCAGTGCTGTAAGCCGTCTTCCTAAGCTCTGTTTGCGCAACTGGAGATGAGTCCCGCTCAGTACCGTAGGATGGTCCATCGGTGGAGTCGTCCCAGCTCATGAGGTCAACCGAAGTTTCAACCTTTTTCACCTGAGTCATGACAATGTCGTCTTCTACTGGTCTTTCTGGTTTCTCGACCTTTTTTAATTGAATCTTGTAACTTTCTTTCTTCGTATCTATTTGGCATTCTTCATTTTTGACCTCTGTTTTTGGTATTTTTGCGGCATCTGTACCCGTTGAATCCACTTCGCTGTCAGGAGACTTTTTAAAAGTCATCTCCTCGGCTGTCAAGCGTCGTTTGTTTCGTTCACTGCGAGTTCTCTGCTTCTTGGTACCATCCTCCACTGGACTCTTTGTACCTTCACGAGGACTGACAGCTGAAGAGTCTTTTCCTTCTTCCGACGGGCTTCGACCCAACGTGTCTTTAGATTCTATCGATGGCCCTCTCAGAAGCAATCGTTCTCTCCTCTTTTCCATTTCTCTGATCTTCTCCTCCAAAGAGTCGTCGGATGTTGTTCTCGTGGTCCTCTGTCTAGAGGGGTCACTCCTCTTTCTTTCAACTGATTCTTGCTCGAATATCTTCCGACCCTCTTCAAACTTGGCTTTCATTATGTCACCAGCTTTTTTGGGGTCCTCTTCACCTCCAGCATCGTCTTCACGACTTTTTCTCTTCGATTTATCGTCGCCGTTCAATACAATAGTCTGTTCAGCACTATACGACTTCACCGGCTCCATCGAGACTGTGATGTCTTCTGACGCTTGGTCAGGCTTAGAAGAGGTATCTTTCTTCTCCGAGGTTTTCTTTGCTTTCTCGTCTAAGCTAAGACGAAAACGATACTCCACTCTCTCCGTTTTGGTCTCAACCATGGTATTTTCTTTATCGTCATCTGCTGCTATTTTCCTGTAACAGCCTGTCTCTGGATCATACTCCATCATTTTGCGCCTCTGGCGTCTTGCTTCTAGCTCTTTCTCGCTAATTACACCTGCCATCTCTTCAGGTTCCCCTTTATCTGTAATTTCCCTTAAAGGTACAGTTTCCTTGGCGGTGGAAGGAATAATAACTTCAGTCCGGTATGTTGTTACTTTATCAAGGCTTGGCGATATGGAACCTTGCTTTGACCTCTGTGCGTCCAATAGCTTCTCTTCCCGAAGGAGTCTTTCTGCTTCTTGCCGAATGTACTCTCGTTTCTCTTTTTCTTCCTGAATTCGATCTTCAGCCTGTCGTCGTAACTCTTCTTCCCGCTGTTGCTCCTCTTTGAGTTGAGATGTTGCTTGCTTTTTGAACTCCTCAGCTTTGGCTTGTTCCTCGAGTAGCCTTTGCTCGGCCTCCCGTCGGATCTCCGCTTGACGCTGTTGGTATTTCTCGAACCTGTCTTCGGCTTCTCGTCGGATTCTTTCTTCGCGATCCTGGATTTCTTTTATCTTATGTTCGGCTTCTTTTCGTATTTCCTCCTCTCGTCGGACCTGATAGTGGTTCACACGCTCCTCTGAAATAAATAAATAAATAATAATAATAATAATAATAATAATAATAATAATAATAATAAATAAAATAACCCCAATGAGAACAGGGCCCGTTTCTCGATAGTCCAGGTGACTTGACGGGCCTGAAACCGGATTTTAAAATCAAAATTTAAAGAATAAAGATACATGACCTGGCACCCTAACCAATCCAAATTTTCTTCAATGAGATGTTAGTTTTATAATTAATTTTCAAAATAACCGGGCCACAAGGCATGTAAAAAGTAGTGAAAAGTTTGCTGTTCCTTCACACGCTCCTTTCATGATGAAAATCTCTCGTCGACATTTGTGATGGAATACAGTAAATGTTTTGACCTGCGGTAACATTTGATCGTGCAGTCTGAATGTCCAAGTGAAGTTACTCCCGAGTAGGACTGCTGTTGGTAGAAGTAGTGATTGACGTTTCGACAACCTGAGCGGAAGTCATACACCCTATGCATAACGAGAAGAGACTGGGAGCGATAAACGACAACCTGAGCGGAAGTCATAAGAGTGAAGTGCGTGTTCTTGATGGACTTAATGACGCCTTTAGCAAAGTCTTTCTCAGAGTCTCTGATCCCTGTTTCTTTGCTCTGTTCACATCCTTGTTTACCAACAAATTATATTCACTTTGGAAACTTCGCTAGTTTACTCTCGATAAAAATAACTATACATTGTCACCAACATGATGAATTCTTACTACTTAGTTTTGTGAACGCCCAAAATAAACCAAATTAATTATATATGACGTGTTTTGACCTGTAACGAAATAATACGGAGAGTGCTTTTAGCGCTTTAGAAACAAACCCTAAAATTTGACTTAGGTGTCAGTTACATCTTTGAATTAATTTTAAACCTTGAAAATTAATTTAAAAGAAAACGTCCCCATTGGCTACCAAGTTTTGGGGGAGTTATGCATATTGTTCTTTGTACGAATAAGCGTCGATAAGTTCTTAAAACATTCACTCAGACGGCCTCCATTTAGCTTAAATCTTGTCGCTTGTTTTTCCCTCTTTTGTATTGAAATCTAGTTCGTGATTCGTTTCTGCGCGCAAAACATGGTTCAGTATTCCGTGAGTATAGGAAAGCCTTTAAACGTGGTTATTCTTTGTGCAAAATCTGTAGCCTTTGCACCTGTAAAGACCTAGTACAGCTTTGAAGTAGCTGATGAATACGCTTTGCTTGTAAAAGATTATAGACTGTTCTGAAATCAAGATGCATTAGGATATACGTCGAATGTTTTCGACGTTTCGTAAAGTTTTCTACTAGACTTGAGAGAGAGCAAGGCCAAAACTTCACGTGAATTATTAAACAATTGTCAAGGAAAGCTCTTTTATCTTAAATTTGTCGATACTTGGCTTTGAAGCTTAAACGAGTTGGGCTTTCTTACCTTTTAATACCAAACCTCTGGAGTTTCAAGAAAATCTTGATTCCTGAATCCCCGAACCATTCCAAAAATTAGAGAGAGCTATCAAGACAAGACTGCACTCAGAAAGTTTTTATTAACTCCAAAACATTTTAACAGCTGCTGGCATAAGAATCGATTAGGAAGCGACAGCAATGCGGACGAATACGATAACTTCAGAAAGATAATGAAAGTCAAAACATCATTGTATCGCGCAGCACGGGAAGGAAATGCCGCAAGTTATTTGCATTTCGAAAGATGCTTCAAAAGTAAGTATCGTCCATAATTGTGTAACAGTAGTCTAGGATATTAATAGGCGGTATAATTTGACGACTGAATAATTCATAACTCTCGGCCCTAAAGATCCACCAGGAACAACAGTTCATCGTAAAAAATATATCGCTAGAATTTTGGGCTGCCAAACCGTTTAAGTATCGATCTAAAAATCAACGATTGGCTGAAACTGAAACAAAATAGTTTCTAAAAATGAAATGACAATGAATTCCTCGTGTCCATTCCAAAACTGAAAACAATGAGCCTTAATTGAAGAATCGTTTGTTGGAATTACCCCGTCATGATGCTACAACTAAAATTTTGCATTAAAAGCCATCCTCTTCAAATGTTTTAAAACCAGCAATTGCACGTGTTCGTGGAACATTGTGTGAACATCAAGTAATTTTCCGATGACACATAATTGGGGTGCACCCTTCATTTGATAAAGTTTTACGATGGGTTAATAAAGAAAAATAAAGAACTTGTGGAGTCTCTCTGTCAATTTGTAAAGAGGGATTAGAAAAACAATGGATGAGTTACGTCCCGACGTTCCAAAGTAATTTTTGACCTTCAAGGTTGTTCGAAAAATTAACATAACAGAGTAGTTTCAAGCGAAGTCGTAGCTTGATAGCTTGGTTTGTCAATTTACTATCACTTGGTAAAGCAAATTAATTGAATAAGAAAAGAACGTCACCTCACGAGCCGTATCACTTCATCAAATCGTCAAGTTAAAAAAAAAAAAAAACAAAAGTTTGCAGAATGTATTTCTCAAGAAATCTTTTTTCCAGCCACTTATTGTGCGTGTATTTTGGTATTCTTTAATCTTCCTTCTTCTTACTTGTCTCGCCAGAATAAAGGCAACATGTACTTGTAAAGTTATTCGAAAATAGTATGCACATAATAACTCTATTCTTGGGAATCGAAGGTTCTCCAATCTTGGACAAAGTTTGTTTGGAAAATAAACAAATCTTTAAATTACCCGATAAATCTTGCAAACAGATTTCGGCGTCCCCATTCGATCTTTCAAAGTTGGATATTACTTGAAAAAATATTTTTCACTCACAACTTTTCAGTCAACATTGCACAGTGGTGCATTGTTGACCGATTTAATTTTCTAATTCTTAGCTGCGAGACTAATCTCTCCATGTAAGCCTCAAGGAAATACCGCGGGGGTTATTTTTAAGTCTAAAGCTGTCAATTTCTTTACCGATAATAATGTTACTTTAGCCTGGTGTGTGGCTTCCCCAAATGCTGTCATCGGGAATAGATAGACACCGCATAGGTTGGGAGTCAATCGACCAATTCTAATCAGTCCTTTTTATTACGAAATGCTCTATGATCCTTATCCAGCTAAGGAGTGTTGCTGTGATAGGACATCGTTTTCTCAAAGCGAAGATCTCAAGAAATTTACGATACAGTAATCTTAAACTGAGGAGAAAAGCAATCCGGAATCACTTTGGCTCACTTTACTTTTCTCTGTGATTGGTTGAAAAAACTCACGCCAGAAAACAATCGGGACTCGTTTTTCCGTGCTTTAGGCAGTTCATATTTTCCACTTTGAGTTCTGATTCACTCTAGAACCAACTGCACCTTGATCAGTATGCATACTCTTCATACTGTTCTCCATACATTTTCTATGGGGCCGACCATTTAACTTTTGAGGGGGAGGGGGGGTGGATGATTTCTGGTCATCAAGAATTTTTTTTTCTAGCAATCTGCTGTGCTGGATATTTTTTTCCGATTTTTTGGTACATTTTTTCTGTTACAACAATTGGGCTGCATGCAATTTTTTTTCTTCCAACAAGCGCCTGTAGGAACTTTTTTTTTCAAAATCACCCACAACCCCCCTCAAAAGTTAAATGGTCAGCCCCTAAGATGCTGACAAGGAGAAGTCGCATAGCAATTACGATCTTCTCTAGTTGGTGATCATTTCCTCTATTCTTTTGATTCAAGGGTGATATTGCAAGGAGAAATCAGATGCTGGTCACGATTGGGGCTAAAAGGGCCAAGACACTTTCCCTTTGTCATGATTGGTTGTTTAGTTAACTTTGGTCTTTGTTTTACGACACTCGATCGAAATGCGCTCTATTCACTGAAATGCATTGGTATTTGAACGTCATTGACTGGTGGAAGCCAGAGAACAATCTCGAGCCATTTAAGGGTATCTGCCGGTACTAGTAACTTTGCACATAGGGTATCTTTACCTTGGTCTTTAAGCGTTTCTTTGATAAGTGATGGAACTTACTTCTCCTAATCTAGGTAAACAGTTATTCTAATTACACAATTTATGTTTAATTAAATTCACATATCAAATTTCCCACAAGGAAATATGCAAATTATACAAAGTTCGAGTTCTCTAAATTCCGTGTGGTAGAAAGTAAAACCGTAATCTGCTGATGCACCAAGTCAAGGACACAATAATGTGAAAACGTGTCAATTTGGAGAGGTCACAAATACAAAATGTTCCTTAAATTGTCCTCCCGATGTCGTATTGATGCTGATTTGTTCACAAGAAGTAAATAGAAACATCTTAGTTGTATGCATTTAATACCATGTCTTGTCTGTTACTTTAGAAGACAGTGCTTAAAAGGTTCTTAAAACGTTTGTTTAAAAAGTAAATTATAAGTGAATGGAACTCGAAAAAGACGACCTGACAGACGCAAATACATTTGAAAAGAAACATGCTGAAATTCAAATTAACAAGAGTTTCGGCTTTTTTCCCACGCGAATAAGCTCATTGATGTGTTTTTACGCTTGATTTCAGACAAATTAGTTTCTTTTGTCCACGCACTTGAATAACAGATACTTTCGAAAATTAAATCACCTTTCGGAAGTTTTGCCGGTCGACGTAAATGAATTAACACTTCAGTGATAACTTTGAAGCGATCATAAATAAATTTTGTTCGCAACCGAGGCGGTCTATAAATACGGTAACGCACGGAATGGCACATAAAGTAATAAAATTGAAGGTAATAACATTTTTATCGACCTATACTCTCGGTGATCGAAGTCAAACAAAAGTCTCCAGTAGTGATTCGACTGAACTAGTAAACTGGTAACAAAAGTATTCCAAGCGAAACCCCCGATGTTTCTAGATAACCATTTTGTACATGAATAATCATATAAATCGCATACCTGTGACAATATTGTACTCTCGTTTACGAACAGGAATACCCCTTCGTTCGAAACTGCTCCATTGCCGCAAAAGATGATGGAAACAGGCCACACAAACAACCGCTCGACCGAGGTCGTCCAGTTTTGTTTTGTTTCCCTGTAACTCGGCTAAAACAGGAAAGAAGGGTCCCTTTGGTTGCGTTGTCGCAAATAAACGCTTCTCGAACCCATTTGTTGTGTTGTTACAGAACGTGCAAATCGTGAAACCAGGTTCTCCATTTCCGGAGTGTGTCGAGCTGATTCTAACCTGTAACTCTGTAGTCGCCATATTACTTACTATACATACACAGTGTTCTTCGTATGCGAAGCTTACCACCAGGCATATACGTTGTCATAGGAAAACTAAGTTCGCAGTCGTCAAATCAATTTCATTTTAGGATCATTAATCGCATCAGTGTAGCAGCCATCCATACAATTTGTGCAAACTTTGCTGAATGGTTTGTATTTACATGGAAGACCGTCGCATGACGGTGACGTATCTCTCGCGAATCATATGCAAAGCCAGGCTAATTTATGCGCATTAAAAAAGAGAATATGAACTTCCACAACCTTTCTTTCCGCAAACTCTAATTGCATCTAGTTCAATAGGAGGCGATGGTTTGTTGCAAAAACTGATTTCATTGGCTAAAAATAATGTTTGTTTACCACCTTTTACAATCACTTAAGGGGTGGTAGATTGTCTTTGAAATTACGTGTCGTGCAGAAATTCTCTCTTATTTTAAGGCTTTCGTCTCCGATTTCTTGCCGTGTGATGATATTTGTCTCACTTTCTCCTATCTGCTTGGAATAGAAAGAAACTTCAACCTCGTAAATTATGACACATACATTCTTCTCCAAAACTTGAAAATTCTCGAATTTACCATTCTGTCTTTTTAAAAACCTAAATTAGTTCCGCTCAGACAAATTAAAAATCATGATAATCTTATGAGCAAGACCTTTGATTTCGTCTTTCAACGAGGTTTTTCTAGACTTGCCGCTTCAGTTATCGTTGAAAAACAACTCCAACGCTCCGGCGTAAAATGACAAAGAACGTGTTCCTCAAACAGTCAAAAGCTAGTTACACGTTTCCACTGAATTCACTGAATTTAAAAGCCACAATTGAATCTATTTTTAATCTAAGGGTGCCCTTAAACAATTAAAGATTTACTTCAAGCTAAGAGGTGATAGAATCAAAAGGTGCTTCGTGCTGAAGAAAGATTCAGGCTAATACTCTTTTTGAAAATCTGTGCTACATTTGTATTAACAGGGTCTTTTCTCTGGCGGCACTGCGTGATTTCCGCAATTTGGAAAAAATGCCACATGAAATTACACGTCTTAGCATCAATGGGGCGCACACCACTCTTCACAAGTGAAAGACTACTTCTTAGCACTATTATTTTAAATAACATATTCTACAACATAATTGAAACAAGATTGATAGGGCAGTTGCGCCTTAAAACTCACTCTGAACTCTACAGCTACTTGCTGTTTCAACTGCCTCTCTCGTCTTTGTTTTCTCAGTGACTAGACTGTACAAATAAGTTCAAACACCTTTTGGCAGGCCCTCTTTTGGGCCCCTTTCTTGAAAAAAGGCCCCACAAAATTAAAAAAGGGGGGCCATTGGGCCCTCTTCCTCTACTTTCGAGAATAAACCCAATACCAACAACTAACGTAGTCGTTCATTTTCAAGAAGTATTTCAATATCATATTGGATATATCAACAAAGTTGAAATGGTAAATTGGCCAACGTAACGATTACAAGGGCTGACGCTCGAAACGTCGGTTTTTGTAATCGTTACGGTGGCCAATTTACCATTTCAACTTTCTTGATATATCCAAATTATTTCGTTACCCCCACCGACGCACCCCCAAACAGTTTCTTTAGAAACTATCAGCCAATATTATATTGGTCAACTTAAGGAAAATCTCTGTAAAACTATCGGTGTTATAGCCACGTTTATATCAACAAAAGAAGATACTTAAGGTCAACGCTTTACAGTAATTATTAAGTAAATGTAAATAGTGAAGGTCGATCGAATTACCTACAAATTACGCTGATTTATTTGCCGGACTCTAACAAAGTCAATCAAACACCTGCACACTAACGTTGACTAAACTTTACATTTTTGACCAAGAATTCAGCACTTCTAAGATTTTAGGGTTTTGTGATTGTTACAGAAGAAGGAAAATCTGTTTTTTCTCATTGAGTCGTACACTCGGACACTCAAAAGAAAACATCCCATCCCACTGAGTAAGCTGTTCGTAAACATTTTTTCATGCGCGCTGCAAAATGTTTGAAGGACAATAAACACAATAGCCTCTATTTTGCGCGGAAATCTGTACGGATATTTGTCCTTACACATTATCTGTTCCTCGAACCTCACAGTTCGCATCTTGGAATTGATTATGTCCGCGGACAAATATCCGTACATATTTTCGCGCCAAGCAGAGGCTATTGTTTATTTATGTAGGCATTTTGATTGGTTCTTACCTATGATCTTCTCGAGGACAGACGCATAGAGGACGTCACCACTAACAAATTTTGCTTTTTTTCACTTGTAAAATGAATAGATTGTATGTTGCCGTGTCTGTTCTGTTAAAAAGTGTTAAAAACATCAGTGACGCACTCGGCTGCACCTCGTTTGCCATTTTTTTTTT